GGATATAGAGAGGATGGAGCTATTGATTTGTTATAATTATCAGCCACCTCATGTGGTGATTCTTTTTAATTTTTTGAATGAGCTATGATTTATTTTGAGTTGCATGTATAAAATCAATTTCCAGAAGTGTGTGATATGAAAAAAAAAATGGAAGTTTATGAGGTTTTCACTTCACAATGGACAAGCTAAAGTCTATTCTGCGTACAGATAAGCATGCAAAGGTCCTTGATTAGTTTTTCATATTTATAGAAAAGACCAAATCATGATCAATTCTGATTCTTCTCGTTCTACGTACTCAATTTATTTTTCTCTCCACTATCGGTGCTGAGGCAAATGCCTTCCTGAATATGTCTCTCACTCATATCTATGTGCCCCTCAATTGCATCCAGAAGTCCCTTCCATGAATCGATGGGCTCTTTGTGTTTGTGGAAGGGACTCCAACCTAACAGGGTCCTGCTAGAAGACGAGGTGCATTTGTGTAGACAGTTTCCATCAATTCCCCTTGCAAATCCCCATTCATGCCATCTCCCATATGGTTACAGAGAGCTCCTCAACCATCTAGAGCAGCTTTTAGGAGGCTGCAGGTAGGCATGGGGAGCAATCTGCAAAAATTGCTTTCTCCTCCCTTCCATCCCTGGGAGCATCCCATGAACTTAACCGTGCTCATGGCTAGTCTGGATCTAACCCTACTTATCAAACTATTTTTTCATACACAAGAATGCAGGCACACACAAACACTCAAGCAGTTGACACCAAGTTAAATAAATCTTAATCTACCATCTATCACGCTGTAATAAATTACATAGTCAGAAGTGCACATGCAAATTTAATATAGTTTTTAAGGAAAGCATTTACCGTCTTAGAAGAGGCATTCTCACCTGTGTGAGAAAGCAAGCACTGTCGCAGAGAAGACTGTTTCTATCTGTGGCTGTGATTAATACAAATTAAAAATAACCAACTTATTTTAAGAGCCAACTTAACCTGGGCCAGGCACTTTTTAAACTGAGTAATTGGCCACAGCCACAAAGCCTTATTACAGAGGTGATTTAATGGTTTCAAATATAAAACTTCACAGCAATATACTAGGCATGCTGTTGTCTATTTCACTGCAGGCTGATCCCAGGGAGTTTAAAGGCGCTTGCTTCCAAGTACGTAAGTGCCTATATAATAGCACCTTCTAATACCCAAGGCTGCTGCAGCAGCAAACTTACCTGCTGGCTTTTCTCTTCAGCTGTAGAAATCAAGCATGCTGCATAGAATAAAAAGAAGAAGCCAGAAGTTTTCATGGCCATGCCTCGATTGAAAAGACCCCAGTGCTTAAAGGGAGATGTGGAAGATGCTGTTTCTTCAAGATAACACCGCCTACTAAGAATCAGATCCAAGAAAACCAGAAGTTAAACGTAAACAGAGAAAAAGCTTTTGCATGCTGCGAGTCTCTTATTCCAAAGTATACAAAAGCAGCATTGCTTTGACTGAGCATGAATTGTCAGTCAGCAGATATTTTAAAGTGGGGAGAAAGCAGAGGTGCAAAAATGATCCTGAGGGGGAAAAAGTTTGCTCAAAACAGAAACGTCTATGGATTTCCTCTCACATATCAGTTCAAAACAGAAGGAAGGAAATCCTTCGTTTTCAGCGGTATGGAAAGGAGTATGCTAATCATATTCTTGTGAAGTAAAGCTGAAGGCTGAACTAGATTGGATCTTGATTCAGATGGGAAATTAATATAGTATGATCAAATTGTTTCAGGGTTTTTGTGTTTTTACTGCCATTTAATAGGCTTCCACTGTTCAAAAAATAAAGAAACTACTTGCCATATTTGAGAAATATTGGGGGGGGGGTATTTTAAAAATGTGTGGGATCATCTTCACAAAAATCTTATTAAGATAGTTTCCCTCTAAAATGCCTCAACTATTTCTTAGACATGTTAGTGACAGCAAGATTAATCCCTATAGTGTTTTCCCCAAATATATGGAGTGATAAAATATATGTTATCTTGGGCCAGTTTTGAAATGGACCTTGCTGCCAAAGACACCACACATACAGGCTCCCCCCACATTCAACTTCCCTAATATATCTGAACCTCTTTTTAGTTTATTTCTACATAGAATATTCCTATCCCATCACAATTATAACATTGGAGAGAACAATTACAAAGCAAAATGGCTGGATTATGTTATTAAATTATACAGTTAGAATGTACACCTCATGAACATAATGACCAGGGTCCAAAAAGCCTCACAGCTAGTTCTGAACACCCAAGGGGGCTACAGATGTGTTAACTGAACAGTAGTTCCTCTGTGAATGACTTTTAGAAGTAGTTTATGGAATACTGGGAGTCTACAAAAGAAAAGCAAATAGGTTTTTTAAATGTATTTAATTGGTTCCCCACCTTTTGTCCAGCATGGATCTCTAGGTATGGTACATGCCTAGAGTTCTTGAAAGATCTACCATTTGGGCACTGACCAGACTTGGACTAGTTTCCAAGCATCATCATGTACATTTCAACCATGCTCTGGGACCATTAGTGTTAGATCATTAGTTGTATACCTGTGGCCCTCCAGATAATGGAGTCCAACTCCCATTAACCCCAACCAGCATGGTCAATGGTCAGAGATGACCAGAGTTGGAAAACCAACATCTGAGAGGTCACAAGTTCCTTGCCACTGCTTTAGATTTCAGCCTTCATTTTATATGTTAGTATATTCACTTCAACAGCCTATTTAATACTTAATGCAATTCAACAGCATGGATGGAAACCTATGGCCCTCCACAACTTTCATCATCCCTGACCATGCTGGATGGGGCTGATGGAAGGAAGGAGATAACATCTGGATCACACCTTCCCACCCCAGTTTCACATATACACAAACTTGCATAGGGCAGTATGTCAACCGATAAAGCCATATTTGTTGTAGTGAATCTTCTAGTGTGATCCCTGAATTTAAATAATGTCCTTTAATATTTATGACAAATGGCAGTATCTTGTCATTCTTTGCACAGCAGAGCAGGGGGTTGACAGGAATGGATTGAGATATGCAGGAAACGCAACAGAGGAGAGAGTCAACTTTGCACACATAGCTGGAATGTTGTTTGATACTGCCACCACCACAGTATTTCCACAACCCAAGACAAGCCGCTGGTTCAATGTTAGTGGCTTTTCTCTTCAGCAGTGGTGGTGTAGAAACAGAAAGCAAAGCTCTGGCTTCAGGCATTGTTTATCCCCCTCTCCCTGTGTGTGTGTAGTTGTTGGATCTTGGTCCTCTCCCTCCTTCATACACAAAAGCAGTTTCATTTTTCAAGTACTTGGAGAAAGCGCTGGGCTAGAAAACCATTATTTTGTGAAGCATTTGCAATCTCCAATTAGCTTTGGCAGTTTCCTGCAATTGAAACCTTGTGTTTATATAGTCTTGACAAAAATTTAAGACTGCCAAGACTTAAGGTATACCATAAAATGTACATTATCCTGTGTGATTTTCTGAGGTCTACAAATTCCTAAGGTCAGCTGAGAAAAATTGTTAAAATCCCGTATTTTAAATTTGAGGAAACATTTCTATTCAGTTCATAATAGTCTGATTGCATAAGTTATCTGAGGCAGGGAGAGAGAAAAGGATATAATTAAGAATAAACCAACTAAATTATAGCTCAGCTTCATTAGTGAAAAACAGAACCTTGTGAGGAAGGTTATTGTGTGAACAACTGCATGTGACTTTGAGCTCTTGAGCCAGTAGAGTCAGAACTCATCTAGGACAGCAAACCTCTAAAAGGGTATGATTTGTGCTTGAGAGACAAGTCCAGCTCTCCATTCTTTTAACTTATTACCAAGTGTTGTAGGGAGAAGTGATCCTTTCAAGTAGTTGAAAAGCACTGAAAGTACTAACACTATACAGTACTGGCAAGTGGCTTGGCATAACATGGACAGTATTCACTGATACCCTGTACTCCATTGTTCCCGAGTTCCAGTAAACTCATTCAGGGCCACAAAAGGCTGCACTTGTGGAACTAAAGATGTTTAATTCTGTCGTGGAAATCATTCTATTCTTTGTGGGCCGAAGAGCTGCTAACCTCATCTGGAGATTTGTGATCATGGTATATAAAGGAAGGAATTCTATGATAACTTGCATCTGAGCTAGAAATACTTCATCCCCTAGAATTCAAGTGTGCTAGAAACAATTGGCCAGTTTCCTGCTATCTAGAGTGGAAGAGTTCCCACCATTCCCAAATTCTATTTAAATATATCACGGAAGATCCAAAATGATGTTAGCACAAGAACTTTTAGAGAACTGATATTGCACACGTGGTAGTGTGCAAGCTTAATTATCAGAGTATAATCATAACAGCAGTTGTGCCATGTGTTGCACAACCTTTCAGAATTGCAAGACACTTGTATTTAGCTGTTGCACTATCCTAAGAATGATGGTAGTGGAATGGCCATTGTGCAAGGTTGCTACAACAGGGTACCAACCATTCTTTTTGTAAGCATCGTTTCAATATCTACTTTTGGAAAAGTTCTACATTCCTTTCCACACAAAATAAGAGAGAGCTTAATGAACACTTAAGCAGTTAGTTGTCCCTAATGTTGCCCATTTCAACTACAGTGGTACCTTGGGTTACAGATGCTTCAGGTTACAGACGCTTCAGGTTACAGACTCCGCTAACTAAGAAATAGTACCTCGGGTTAAGGTACCTCGGTTCAGGATGAGAACAGAAATCGTGTGGCAGCAGCGCGAGGCCCCATTAGCTAAAGTGGTGCTTTAGGTTAAGAACAGTTTCAGGTAAAGAACGGACCTCCAGAACAAATTAAGTTCTTAACCCGAGGTACCACTGTATACAGAACTATCATTTCACTCGAGGGAATATTTCCCTTCTTTTATTTCCCATTATGAAATATGCTCCTAATAATGTTTGGCATAATTAGTATATCTGCCAGATTATGCAAGAGAAAAGTGGATACCAAAGGAATCATTCTGATCTTGAAAGAATGCAAATTGGTGAAGTCCAAGCATTTTGCAATGGGTTTTTATTGAGTATGCCAGATAGACAAAATAATCATATAGGCTCAGTCCCTTTTATGAAAGCTTCCCCTGGAAGGAACTGCCCATGACTTGGATTATTTGCTATGATGGTCTCTTCAGAAATTTTCCTTTGCCTTTGAGGCTTCCTACACAGGTCTAAAGGCTCATTAGAAAGATAAATGCACAACTGACCTGCACTGTGAGCAAAATCATGGAAAGTCAGAAACACAAATTTTGGTTTATTTGTATTGAGAAACTTGGCAACAGAAAAACACAGTGCTCTGAATGACAAGTATCCTTTGATTTGTTGGCAACAGGGCAATTATTGCCAATCCTGGCCAACCTTTGTCTGCATTAGTGAACTGAAATTGATAACTTTTCTCAACTGTTTAAAAGTGTCCATCGGATGTAACAGTAACTTTCAGTTATAGGTGAATTCTTCCATCATGTTCATGATTAGCAAACAAAATTAAATTTGACACATCATAAAAGAATGAAATGTAAAAATTATAAGGATTATTAAATAATTGTTAGCAGCATAGGCAATAAAATACATCTTGAACAAAGAACATTGCACTTTGACATAGCTCAAGCATTTTTAGTTACCATTATTTACATATCTTGTATAGAATAGCAAGACTGATATATATGTACAAAAACCACAGTGGAAACATAACAGTCCTAATGAAAGTATGCCAAGTATTGACTCCTTTTGTTCCATACAGTTGCCTGGGATGCTTAATAAGGAATCTGAATGTGTACTGTTACATAAAAATATAGTTTAGAAAATTCCAGTTTTAATGTTTTAGCAGATTGGTTGTACTATTAAAACCTCTTCACTGCACAAGGAATTATAACAGCAACACACAGGAAACTTCAATGTAATATGTTTCTGTGAAGAGAGTGCCAATCCCTGCTTAATTCAATCAATGCTGTGCTTTAAGTCATCATAGTCTTCGGCCTGACCTCTATCAGCTCTGCAGTAACTAAAATATTTGAAAAAAATAAAACTACCCAGTGAGCTCCAAAGGTAGCTCTCGACCACATAAGATCTCCCACTGCCTAGCAAGGAGAGATATTAGTTTCTCGCGGCTTTCTGGACTTGGGATAAAGACACACCACAGGACCTCTCGACTGCTGCTGCCTTCCTGGGTGACCTGCCCTTTAGGAAAACTGAGAACATTGTCAAAGTGATCAAGGGTCAGGTTCTGCATGAGATCTTGATTCTGAATGTCATCAAAAACAAACGTGAGCGCCTGCGGATACGTCTGATATCCCATGAGCACTCTGTCTAAATCCCGGATCCTTCTTCCATCTGCAAGTTGATACTTGTCTTTCTTTGGCGGTTCTTTAGCAAATTCAGGAAGTGGATAACTGATGTAATCCTCATTGAAAAGAAACATATCCGAGCTGGTTAAGATCAGCGTTTTAGGTTGAAGTGAGCTGTTGGATTGAGCAGTCCCTTCTGTAGCATTCACTTGAAACGCTAGCACATAGAGAAGTATATTCAGAGACTGGAAGTTAATCACACAGTTCATCTTCTCTGCTACTAGAAAGGCAAGGTCCCCAATTTCTTCTTCATTGGGATATATGAACTTCACTCTACTAGAATGAATCAGTTCATAATTCTCCATTTTCCCTGTAAGCAGAAATACACAATTTATAGTCTGCACTTATTAAAATAATTCTACCAAGGAAGCAACTAAAAAGTTAGGCTAAAAGTCACACAGAATGTTTTTATCTGTAATATTAACAACAGGCTTTCAAACTGAAACTTGGAGTGATGTGGATACTCTGGCAAATATTAAAATAGGCACCAGTGAACTAGAAGTCACTGATTCAAATCTCACCTCTGCCATGCATTCATTAGATGTCTTAGGCAAGTCATTCCCTCTCAGCCTCAGTCCCCCACATGTAATATGATGGTAATCACATCAAGCAGGCCAGTACTATTTTAAGGAACATTGAAATAATGTATGGGAAGCACTTTGAACATACTAAATTACATCACTTTTAAGATTGCAGTTTAGTCCCTGCCCCTTTCTCCAAGATGCTTAGGGTAGTATACATGGTTATTCCCTTGCTCACTGTACCCTCACAGCAAGTCTGTGAGGTCAGACTGAAAGGTAGCAACTGGTCGAAGGCCACCCAGTGTGAGCTTCATGGCTGAGTGGGGATCTGATTTACAATTTTCCCAGGCCTAGTCAGACAAACTAAGCTCATGCTAAGTATCAATAAATTATATATAACTTTTTAAATTATATATTATATATAATATATAAAATTTTAAATTATATATAACTTTTTAAAAGAAGTTAACTGCTGATGGTAAACATTTTTGTTGGCCTAACTTTTCAACTTCCTCTTTCATTCTTGGAATTTACTCAGGAGGGGGTGCGGAAGAGTGCTAAAAATGCAGTTGTCAGCATAATCCCAGATGCTCCCCTCTACCCCGGTATTTTTTGTGCTTGTCAGTTAAGTTCTATACTTGTTTAGCATTGCCAGAAACACTATTCATACCCTCTCTACACATGCAAAGAAATCACATGGTGCAGGAGTCATGGGATTGTACTACTTCAGCCAGCAGGTGGGGGAAAGCTTCTTGCACATAGAAAAGTACTGCGTCAGAAGACTGGAATCCTTCCATCCTGTTAATTTTGTATATGTAATAAGTTGGGCTTTTTGCATGGCAGGGACGGAGAAAGAGGAAAATCTAAATGGGTACAGTGTTTAGATCAGCAAAAAGAAAAAGAAAACTCAGACAATTAAGGCTATTCATTTCCATCTGCTTTTGCATCTTCCCTTTTCTAACCCGCCAGACTCTACCCAATCACAATTTATTTTCCTAAATCCTTAGAACAGGATTGCTAGAAATGTTCTTCACCATGAGCTTATATTTTGCTAACCCCCCCCGCCCCATTCTCTCAGTTACTCACATTAGAGGTCATTTTATGTACATGATGTACTGATGGGTGGAATGCCCTTTTGTAGTTTAACATTAACACACCCGTATCTGTTCTTTTTAACTCTATTTTCATTCAGGTAAAGGAAAAGATCGACAATCAGTGCTTAATGAATACATCTGTTTAGGCTGAACTTCCATACTGATTTCAGCGTCACTGACTGCATTGCCCAAAGGATTCCCAGCTGAATTCTGATTTACTATAAGACAGGGATGATGTAACCAACAGGACAAATGGCTTAAGATGTGGCAGGAGGTTGAGTTCTGAACTGGATTTTACAGTGAAGAGCTAAATACCGTATTTTTCGTTCTATAGGACGCACCGGACCATAGGACGCACCTCGTTTTTTGGGGGGGGGAAATGAATAAAAAAAATCCCCCCCCCGCGGCTGCCGCCCCAAGCCTCGAGTGCTTCGGGCTGCAGGCTACCGCCCCAAGCCTCGCGCGCTCGGCGGGACCTCCTGCCGGGCGCGCAAGGCTTGCAGACACTCGCCCGAAGCACGGGGAGCCCTCCGGAGGGCTCCCCGTGCTTCGGGAGACAAGCTGCCGCCCGAGCCTCGCGCGCTCGGCGGGACCTCCTGCCGGGCGCGCAAGGCTTGCAGACACTCGCCCGAAGCACGGGGAGCCCTCCGGAGGGCTCCCCGTGCTTCGGGCGACAAGCTGCCGCCCGAAGCCTCGCGCGCTCGGCGGGACCTCCTGCCGGGCGCGCAAGGCTTGCAGACACTCGCCCGAAGCACGGGGAGCCCTCCGGAGGGCTCCCCGTGCTTCGGGCGACAAGCTGCCGCCCGAGCCTCGCGCGCTCGGCGGGACCTCCTGCCGGGCGCGCAAGGCTTGCAGACACTCGCCCGAGCACGGGGAGCCCTCGGAGGGCTCCCCGTGCTTCGGGCGACAGGCTGCCGCCCCAAGCCTTGCGCGCTCGGCGGGACCTCCTGCCGGGCGCGCAAGGCTTGCAGACACTCGCCCGAAGCATGGGGAGCCCTCCGGAGGGCTCCCCGTGCTTCGGGCGACAGGCTGCTGCCCCAAGCCTCGCGCGCTCGGCAGGACCTCCTGCCCGGCGCGCAAGGTTTGCGGACACTCGCCGGGGCTGCAGGCTGCTGCCTGCAAGCCTTGTGAGCCCGCGGGAACTCCCACCGGGCTTGCAAGGCTTGCGGATAGCTTCCTGAAGCCTGGAGAGCGAGAGGGTCGGTGCGCACCGATGCCTCTCGCTCTCCAGGCTTCAGCGAAAGCCTGCATTCGCTCCATAGGACGCACACACATTTCCCCTTCATTTTTGGAGGGGGAAAAGTGCGTCCTATGGAGCGAAAAATACGGTAGTTTGAATACTATTCACACTGGATTTTCAAAATTCAGATTTTCATGCTGCAATTGTCTGGATTTCCAAGTCAAATTAGGGACAGATTAAAACTGTATTGCGAAAAGAAGGAAAGCTTTGTCAAAGTAGGCATGCCAAGAGTTCAATCCCCTGGCTAAACGATTTGTGTCAATCTGAAGTCACCCCATACTTACTGAGGAGCATCCAGCAGCTCTTTCTTCTCCAAGGCCACTGCACTCAGGCTACTCTCAGGAAAAGGAAGGGTACAACTGCATGCAAGAACTTGGGAAAGTACAAGCTGCCAGACCTCTCTAGGTAAGGAAAAGCGGGCCTGAAGTGAACCTGCCTAGACATGTCAGAATACACTAGCTACCAAATGTAATGGCTTCACAGAAGATTGAAAGCTTAGAATGGGCCTGTCTGTGGGAATTGTTCCACATTTGCCACACTTCATATTCAGGACTACAGCCTATATGTGTATACTTGGAAAGCAGCACCATTGAGTTCAAAGGGACTTACTCCCTAGTAACTGTGAATGGATTGAAGCCTGAGCCTAAAATTCTAACAAAAGCTGCAGGTGTTTTCCTCCTTTTACATATATTTTTAATAAAGATAGATAAAATTTACTGATAAAGGGTGGTCTCCTCCTTGGTCTCAAATTACAATTTCCATTATTGGCCAAATAATGTGCTAAACGCACTGCATTTTTCTTAAAAAGAAGGATCTTAACACATCTAATGTATATTGCATCCTCTAGAACAGTATGGCGAAATATATTTATAGGTCCTATTAAGTAAAATGTTTCCAAAAAATTTTACCTGTATTTTTCTTTCCAAATTCAGAGTAGAAGTCTTTGTCCACTGGCTCTGGGGATGGTGTCCTTGCCAATAGTGAGAGCACTGCCATAAGGTGTTGAATAAAAGCATGAGTGCTGTAACTGTCTCTGGTTAGACAAGTTAATATATGTTCAGCTGAACGCCCTGAAAACAAGACAGAATCAAATGTGCTTCAAGTGCTATTACAATTTTGCAACATTTTGTGTAGGTTTCTTTCTTTCTTTCTGTTTAACAGAGGCTATATGTCCACTGGGCCAAATCTTAGGTTTTTATTAGCAGGGTTTGTCTGTTTCCTTCCTAAACACTCAATACCAAACCTCTGATGAGCACTGCCCCACTGTACAGGCAATACGGCAACAATTCTTTGAAAATCATACTTTTACCGGCAAGATGTCTCTACTAAAACTAGACATTTTCAGTAAGATGCACCAGTGTTTGAAAATGTGCAGAACTTTAGCTATGCCAATGCTAAACTAATGCCAGGCATGCTATAGATAAATATCATTAACTGAGTATATAAGACCAAATGGTTATGATAAACTGGAACTACAGTGTGCAAGACTGAATGGTTATGATAAACTGGACTTACAGGCACTATCAGTGCACTGGTACTTTTCAGGAACTTATGAGTTTGATGGTGGGAGGGGAACAGAAGGAGAAGAGAGAAAGGGAAATGGAAAATAAATTTACTTACCAGCAAGTCGAAAATACTGATCAAAAAGTCCAATGTTCACTGAGTGGAGATCATTTAATTTTAGGACCAAGCAGTAAGACAGATGGAAAGAACTGAATTCATAGTCCAATTGTCCATTGCTCCAAAAATCTGTTAAATTGATTATTGGATAGTATTTAAGAAATCTGGTAATTTTATGAGAAGAAATGTGAAGGTCGTTTTAAGATCTCAGAAGAGAAGGTTCACTAGTCAGTGCAACTTTTTTTTTTTTTTTAAGAAAAAATAGAACTAACCTCCTACTAAAGGTGGAACTTTGTATTGCCCTAGCAAAAATGGGTTCCCTACCCATGTTTGCTGAGGTAATAGGAGTACAGTGGTACCTCAGGTTACAGACGCTTCAGGTTACATACTCTGCTAACCCAGAAATAGTACCTCGGGTTAAGAACTTTGCTTCAGGATGAGAACAGAAATCGCACAGCAGCGGCGCAGCAGGCCCCATTAGCTAAAGTGGTGCTTCAGGTTAAGAACAGTTTCAGGTTAAGAACAGACCTCCAGAATTAAGTACTTAACCCGAGGTACCACTGTAATAGCATTTGTAAAGGAAAATAAACAAGCAGCAACCTCCCTGCTCTCCTCTGTAGACCACTCCCCAATTATATTTTGCCCTTGCAGCTAGCTGCTGGTGGTGGTGGTGGTGGTGGTGGGGAGATAGCTGAATACAGTCTTGTGGGAAGGGTTATGGGGAGAATTCACAGCTCAGCAAACTTAAGAACTATATTTCCACCTGCCAGTTCTCTTTTGCAAATGCCTCCTTACCCCCCCCCCCCCCGCATTAGAATTACAAGAAAAACACAGTGTTCCCAAACCTCCTTGCCTCATGGCATGCAGTTCTGTTCCAAGAGTGGCCTTGAATAATTATTCAACATTGAAAAAAGGTAATGAATCTCCTTTTTGTATCTTCTAACCCCAATGCCATTTTTTTGCATTCGTGGAAAATCATGGCACACACAGAGCTTATTCTGGGGGAGCGGGATCCTTCCAAAGGATACCACCCATTCTAATTCATTAGTCAAAATGGTTCATCGTACAATGAATGTCAAGAATACGGAAGTTGCTCCAATCTAAAATCACTTCTCCTTGAAAACATTATTAGAAGCCAGGGATTATATATTCTGCCTTACCGAAGTGGCGTTCGTTAGAATGACTCACGGAATCGTCTAACAAGAAGTAAATAGCTTTAGTTGAGAGCAGAACACAAGCTGTCGTTTCCATATCAGGAGCTTTATAAAACAGAACAGATGACCACATGAGATGCCTCAGCTCTTCGTTTTCCACCTAAAATATTGACAATGCAATTAATCAACTATTTTAAGTGTCTGGATGCAGTTTCATTGTCAATAGTTATAAAATGCGAGTCCTTTCTAACCCACTTTACTAAATGTTCATATTCAATTCCTGGAGAGTATAGCTTCAGTTCGGGAAGAAATTCATACAATCATAGAGTTGGAATGCCTGTTTGCCACTGGAAATCTCCCCTATTGATATAACAAACTGAGGAATGATTAAACATGTGGAGCAAGAATTCCTGTGGATCCACATTTTCCTACTGTTTGTGGTTTTGGTTTGCATCCATCAGTATTATGAAATACTCTTTAACATCCAGAGTTATTACCATTGGACCTAAGAGTGTTCCCATTTTCAGACTTTTAAAGTAACTGAGATGCCCATTAGTTAATACATATACTGTACCAAAGTTTAGCTCTCACTATTGGTGGAAGTGGAATAACAATTTTGATGCTGCTGTGATGAGTGAACCCAAATGGTCAAATCATCATCATCAACAACAACAACAGAATATTCACAACTGTTGAGAGTTGTGGGAGTTACGTTCTTTAAAATGCAACTTGTAAATATGATACATTTATTGTCCTTGCTGTTGTCTGGTCTATTTGATTTTAGAGCAATACAAAATCCAATCTATTGCCATATGACCTTATAATATTAATGATAGTAAAATCAGAAGTCATCAGCACTATTTCTATTATCATTTTCTCCCTCCACAGAAAAAACTATTATGTAAGACAAAATGTATCTTGAACATATATTGCGCATGAAAATTCATGCCACCATAAACCAGTTAGTTTTCAAGGTGCTAGAGGACAATTTAGCTTTTTTGCAGCAGAATAACATGCCTAGACTTCTGGAACCTCTACCATCAGGAATGTCCCTTCCCTGTGTATTGTACAATACCTCAGCAATGCTGCTGTGGAAAAATTCCATAATGGATTTTCCCTTTAGCCCAGCCACATACTGAAGAGATGAAGAGACTGGAAGGTGCACAGGTATTTGGTTCTCTTCAGTAATTTTCTGCACCAGAAATTCAGATGGATACAAAGATGAGAATGGCAAATGTGGCTTGCATAAGCTGGGAACAAAGAGAGATGAATATACACTGTCAGAGGCAAACCCAAATGAATGAAACACAATTTCATTCAAACTTACAGACTCAGATTTGAAAGGAACCTTGGTGGTCAACTAGTCCAATTTCCTGCTTAGTGCAGGATGCAACTACAGACTCACTGAAAGACGATTGTCCCGCCTCTGCTTAAAATACTTCCTTATCAAGATCTCAGGATCATGACCCTTAATCCAAGCTGAAAAGTTTATGTTAAAGGGTCCTAGGTGTCTTAGCTGATCACAGCTGAACAGGAGCCAACAGTGTGATGCAGTTGCTTATAGACTAAACAAATCACAAGCTTACCCTTAAACCCATCCCTTTGCCTCCTGCACTTTTATACGACTGACCATACATTAATTGTGCAGTTTTAACACCCTGGCGCATCTTAACTGTTTTACTTATTGGAACTCTTCCCAAGATGTACACCTCCTCTGTAATATTGTGCAGCATTTTGTAAACCACAAGAGAGAGAGGTCATCAAACTGGCAATTTATAGAATACTCATTGCTCAGTTCACGGCAAGCCTTCTTCACAGACAAGAAGTTCTCACTAACTCTTTTTCAGTACGTGATTACAATGACACAACAGGGAGGAAGGTGACCGACTTGTTGGCCCAGTCCCCTCCATCACATTTCTGTCAATTAGCTCTGCAGCCCGCTATGCATTTGAGGGCTAAGTTCTGAACTGGGGAGCCTGCCATACCAGAGTAGGCTCCCTGTGTGATTTAGATAGAAGCTTCATCTTCCAGGAGTCTAAATCATACAGAGAACCTGCACGAGTAGTAGAAGAGCAGCAGAAGTCCAGACCCTGGCATGCAGAAGGGGATGCAGCTGAAAAACAAAAATATGCCAGAAAGCTGGGGCCTACAGGTTTGTTCCCATCCTCCCATACTGCAATTTTAAACACACATATATGGCTAAATTTTTGGAGATGGCTAGTATTATAGCCACGCTGCAATGAGTGACATTCAAAACAGTTATCCTCACCTTGCAGTTTGGCCATGTCTCTTGGAGTCCCAGAGAGGGTTTCTTACAGATTCTGCTTTGAAAATAATTATAGTTTTGATGTCTTGTAAAAGTGTCCTCAGAAGACCGTAGATTCTTAGAAAACGGAATTTTTCATGAGGTAGGACAAATACAGCTGTGACAAATCTGTAGCCAACGAGCAATTCAAGCACATGGCCATCTGAAAACGAACCTTCTTGCTGAATAGAATGGCTGGCAGGGTGCAAGAGAACAGAAGCTAGTGGAATCCTGCTCAGCTTGAATATGCTCCTTGCGTTCTCAGAGTCTATGTATTTACCTGGCAGTACATTAAAGTCAACTTGAACGATGTGTAGGTGTTGGGGTGTTAGAAATATCCAACAGGGATGGAACATGCAGTGGCCCTCTTCGGCAGATTTATGAAATGTTGAATAAAGTGCAGAACAACCGACGTGTTTAGAGGAAGTTTTGCCATCACTGGCAGATTCTAGCTGACACAAGACTTTCTGAGCATCAGCTTTATTACGGCAGAAAAGGTAGGCAGGGAAACAACCCTTTATCTCTGTGTTTTCAGATGAAATGTGATAAAATCCCATAAGCTGGTAGACAAATTCTTGCAAACTTGCTTTGCCACAGTACAGTACAGAACTTGTTAAAGCAGGCGTACAGCTCTGAGAGCGAGACATATGTAAACAGGAATAGAAATCTTGCAGATTCTGAGAGTCCGAAACAACAAACAAGCAGGTATCGCCATTATTTACCTTGAGTGTCAAACATATTTCTGGTATTAAAAAGCCAAATTCTGTAAGGTCAGAATATGGAAAGCACAGTGCTAATTTCAAGGCAGAAAGAATATTCTGGCAGTTTCCTTTGGGATCTTGAGGGATTTCAAATACAGCTACCACACTATTGGTCAAAACCAAACAGGAAGCAAACTGCTTGAGTCCTTTATGAACCTGAATACAAAAGCTCCAGAGAACTTTGACTACGTCATCCGGCTCTGTTTTTGTGCTGGCAGAAGCTATTTGCACAATATCTGATGTAGGGATGAACTCAAATACATTGTCCCCTTCATGAAGCCCCATTTCAAAATAGCCATCTTCAGTATCTGCAACTCTGGAATCACTCAAAAGGTTCCCTGTATTTTGAGTTTCCACTGAGAAAGAGGGTGCACTTTCCACAGCATCTGCTATCAAAGCAGAGAGATGTTGCACAAAATCCTGATTTGTGGCAGTGTACGACATACAGGTGAAAGGCAGGATGACAGTATTAAGAGAGTCGGGCAAGGCATCAGGTTCTTCTTTTGAATGGCCCAAGCTTTATTAAAAAATAGAACTATATTAATCCAAGTTCAAAAATAATCATCCTATTTCCAAGTCTCACTCTGGTGTCTCTTCATTACTAAAATATTTAAAATACAAGTATATGTATTATTATTGATAATTATTATTATATGTAATGAGGCAATGGCATTTGAGATAAAAGTAGACGGTTGCTGAACTTATGCAGGTATGCATTCATTCAGCTGGTCCTTACAAACCATTTCGAGTGTGTACAGAGTCCATCCTGACCTCAACTTGCCCCATCTGCATTTTGTGGAGTTGCTTCCTGTACTTCCTGTTTCACACTTCTGCTTTAAACAGGAAGTACAGGGAGCTCCCAGGCAGATGAACCCCCTTAAGTCTTCACAACTTTATTTCTCCTCTCTTTACAGTGATCTCTAGCAGCTACAAGTTTTGAATGCATGCAAATGTTCAAGAGGTAGAAGTGGAAATCAAAATGAAACATCACTCTCACCACATGTGATGGGCATTTTCATATTTGTTGGAAGAGTCCAACTGAGAAGCAGGTACCTTGAAAGAGAAGGGAATCAGAATAAATAAGTCACACTCTGATGCATCTGTCAAGTTTGCCCCTGGTACTGCACAACTGAAGGGCAGTACATTCTTGCGTTTGCCATCGGCCAGGGGACTAAGGCTGCTCCTACTGACTCCCAAGTAGAGAGTAATGGACAAGAGGAAGATCAGTCGGTCCCCATGCATTGCATGCAGCTGCAGGGAGCTTGCTTTGCCAGTGCTTGCTGGAAAGAACACTTACAAGAACTTTGTAACTAAGAAGTGGGGTCTCTTTGCTCCTCCCTTCCAATCACTTTTCTTTTTGTGTTTTTAAGATTGTAAGCCTGAATCATTGACTGCTTTAAGAGCAGGAAAAAATATTAAAGTGAAGAAACAAACATACAAAAGGAGACACGATAATCTAGTAAAAGGTGGGCCTAGTCACATAGTTCAAAAGGTTAATATGGCTCAATAACTAGCTGAACTGTGGGCTATAATATGGTTGCCATACGTTCTGATTATCCCAGACATTACTGGGATTTCAATGGTTTTTTGTGTTGTCCCCCCGCCACTGAAAAGGGAATGTGTCAAGTTCTTTGGCATTATTTTTTTTTTTTAAATGTCAATTTGTTTGTGTCCGGATTTTCACTTCTTGAAATATGGCAACCCTAGATAACCTGTTTAACTTTAAAATGACTTTAATAAGCATCACTTGGCTATCTGGAGTAGCTAGTGATTGCTCTGAATGGTGCTTTCCCCCTTTAAAGCAGAATGGCATGTATAGGCTTTGTTGTTCTTTAGTGCAACATGGCAAATCAACAGGTAGCTCTTTGCAAGTCCTGATGATTAGCTGATCATCCACATAGGAACCTGCAGTCATTGTGATGCCAGGATACTGACAACTGGGTGCATTGGCTACCTACTTAACTGTGCCTATGAGGGAAGTTGAGAGAAGATAGGTTCCGGCCCACCAAGCAGATATAGTTCCCCGCCCTTGCTATAGGTAGAAGACATTCAGTGAATACAGCCGATTTCCTTGTATCAGAAGTTTACAAGCAAACCTCAGGAAAAGAAAAAATTGTTTGCTTTTTTAAAGTAGCCATGGTATAGTTTCCTCATATCATTTTTTGCATCTGTCTCTCTCTCTCTCTCTCTCTCTCTTACACACACACACACACACACACACACACACAAAAACAATTACAAATTCACTAAAGCAGAAAGATTATCTAACATATGGACAGCTATTTGAAATATGTTTCCAGTCAGCCATCTTGCTGAAATCTTACTCCACTTTTCTCAGACATGGCATTCAGGTTTGAGTGGGCTACAGACTTTGCTGGTTTATGACAAAAACTATCTCAGAAAATGAGCCATTACCTGATTTCTGCTTCCCAGGCCGGGTGTTTCAGAGCATCTTTGAGTAACTGTATGGCTTGTAGGAGTCGAACTACTTGATGAGAAACTGCTGGCTAGGACTGTTTTTCTAAAAGTTATTTCTAGAACAGATAAAAAAAACAGTTCTTGAACACCACTGATGTAAAAACAAGCAAATGTGATTTGAAATATACTAAAGAGTATTAACTTTCACATGCTCTGAGAAAGAAAATGCATTGTATTTCAAGCATACATTTATACAATGTCATCCTGTGCTTGAGATTACTTAAGAGAAATGCACATCCATCAACTAACATACCTATTTGACATACTGATAATTACTGAATACACAGGTTCATCAGAAGCTTGGAATCTTATTACTTCCCACCCAGGCTGCTGCATTTATGCTTGACGGAAGCAAATGATCTCAATGGAGCTGAGTTTCCAACGAAATAACTGGGCTGCTGAAATGTGTGAAAGGCTTGGACTGCAGTTCAGATTGTTTCAGATTTGAAGTCATTTAAATAATTTTGTGTCATTCAGATGAAAATTAGGGAGGCATCCATTTGTCCATTGCATTCATCCTTTTCCCTATTGCATATGTGAGCCCATGTTTGGAGTTTTCCATCACTGCCCCCCCCCAACTGTCCCATGACTGGCCAGCTGGACTCCCAGGAGGACTGTAAGTGGAGAGTGCGCTCAGGGAAGTAATTAATGTACTGAACAAGGCTAACTGGACTGGGTATTATATATATTTCTTTGCAGCTCTCTTCTATATATAACCTCAAGCACTCAAGAGAACAATAATTGTTAAAATCAGAAGACAAATGGAAATATTTTTAGCTGTCAATGTTTTTATAGTAATCGTAGCCATACATTCATGTGAAATGATCCTTGGTTATGGTATGAAATAAGGCTAACAGCCCAATTCTGTGTTTGCTCAGCAGTGAGAACAAATTATTACAGTGGGATGCGGTAGCTTACTCTTGTTTTAACAGAATAATCCTAAGCATGTTTACTCAGAAGCAAGTCCTGCTGAAGACTGCTTCTCTAGTAAATGTGCTTCGGATGGCAGTCTAGAAGTGTCATGTAATTAGTTTCAGAATTTCTTTTGTATTTCCTATTAATCTGCAACCAAAAAATTAAGTTTTCAAACCCCTTAAAATTATGAATGTGTAACTTCACACATTAATAATTTCTTCAACAGAAGACCCCTACAGTCTACCTGTTCATTATGGGGGAAAAAACAAAAACAATCTACTGAATTCTGATAGTAGTTAAGGAAGCTGAAGAAATATTTGTGCTTTTCTGTTTCCTGTAAAAAATATTTAAATCTTGGATTTCCTGCAAAAAGGCAGTTTTCCTGTAACACTTGATATGATTAATACTTTATGGAAACAGATGGTGTCACAAAAACACCAGCAGTTGTTTCAGAAAATAAAATGGCAGAACACATGTCCATCCTTGGAAGTTTCAACCCGAAAGACTGTTACAAACAGGGCCTCCGGTTTTCACGAAGAGATCTCTCCCAGCTCCAGCTAGAGATGCCAGGGACCTCCTGCGTGCAGAGCTGAGGCAGGTCACTGAGATATGACCTGTTCCATATATATATGTCCATGACTTTGAATTTTGGCTACATTGATATTTGAAAAAGAACCTGTGAAAACTAGCAACATTTAAAAAAACCCCAAATGCACATAATTTTGGAGGAAATGCCTTGTACTGATAGAGGATAGAAAACAAGGAAAGATATTGCAACGACTTGCACATACAACATTTGGATATTTCCAAATTCCTACCGCAATTTTCTTAGTGTTTGAAGAAATGTGGTAAAATGTTTTCTACTTTATATTTTATTTGCTTGCAATAACCTATATAAATAAATTGAAGCATATGCCTCATTTACTGCTTATGTAGTATTCTCAGCACAAGTAAGGTAAAGGTAAGGTAAATGTAAAGGACGCCTGGACATTTAAGTGCAGTCAAAGGCGACTATGGGGTTGTGGTGCTCATCTCGCTTTTCAGGCCGAGGGAGCCAGCGTTTGTCCACAAACAGCTTTCCGGGTCATGTGGCCAACATGATTAAACCACTTCTGGCACAACGGGACACTGTGATGGAAACAAGAGCGCACGGAAACACCGTTTACCTTCCTGCTGCAGCGGTACCTATTTATTTACTTGCACCGGCATGCTTTCAAACTTCTAGGTTGGCAGGAGCTGGGACAGAGCAACGGGAGCTCAGCCCATCACAGGGATTTGAACTGCCGACCTTCTCATCAGCAAGCCCAAGAGGCTCAGTGGTTTAGACCACAGCGGCACCTGCGTCCCTTTCACCACCAGTGGAGAGTTATGGGCTGATGAGAACATACAAAAGAGCCTGGTGGATCAGGCCAATGGCCTATCTAGTCCAGCATTCTGTTCTCACAGTGAGCACCCAGATGTCTGTGAGAAATCAGCAAGCATGACCTGAGCACAAGAGCACTCTTCTCCCTGTGGCTTCCAGTGACTGGTATTCAGAAGCAATACTGCCTCCAACCATGGGTACAGAAGTATTTGATCATTTGCCTTTGTGCTTCCACTGATGTTGCCAAACCCCATTTCCCTGTAAAGAAATTCATGTATATCAATGCAGCCTAGAAAGGCAGAACCAAAAGGCCTGGCCATGCAGCATGATACATACATGATTACCTTGACTGGAGCTGACAGGACGAGGCAGAGAAGGAGAGGGAGGATGTACAGAAAGAGAAGAACAGTTTGATTTTGAACTGGCAGCAGAAAGCTTGGGATCTTCGGGGATCTGAGAAAGAAAAAAGGAAGGGCTGGGAACAAAGGCTACAAAGCATCCCTATCTCGAATGAAAACAAAGACAGATTTGTTAGCAAGCAGTAGGGCTGTGATAAATTAGATAATTTTAAAACACAGCTTCTTCGCCATAATACTGGATGTTGGCAATACTGCATTAACAGCACTTAAGATCAATTTAAAAAGTCCAGTGTATGAACAAGCAAATTATCCACCTTTCAATGGACCAATTAACTTTAGTACCAGAAAGAAAATGTTAGGAATGTTTTCCCAAGAAACTCAAAAGTAAAAGCCAAGAGTGAGACGAAACCCATCAGTAACTGTTTCTTCCTATGGGCAATATCCAACGTTACTCATACTCAAAGCAGACCTAGTGAAATTCAGGGATGCCAACAAGATTACCTGTGTATGGAACACTGAATGTGGATTGGGCCCCCTGCATACACACAACATGAAAATAACTGCTGCTTATGTGTGTACATATATAAACTTAGCCTATCTTACCTCGCAGGGCTATTGCAAAGATAGAAAGGGTTGGGAGGGGAATGTACACAACCATGAGTTCCCGGGATGAAAAGCAAGATACAAATATGCAAAAAAAAAAAAGAAGAAGAAGCAACCAATACTCTAAGCATGTGCAGTTTCACAACTCCCAAAAAACACAAAACATTTTGACAACCTCGAGGAACAAAAAAAACATATCCATGTGTGCTAACAGTACAATCCATAGGAATTCTAACTTGCTGAAGCTGTGGAGTTCTGGATGATTTTATAGTTGTACCTGCAGATTCATTTTGTATATTGTTGTTTTATGGTTACTGTATATTAATAAGCAACAGCCCAGCCAAAACAAGCAGACCAGTTGTGGTTGCGTGGAGGGACGTGGAAAATCAGGAGGCAGGGGGGAAGAGAATGACAACGACGACCTTGCAATACAGTGGTGCCCCGCAAGACGAATGCCTCGCAAGACGGAAAACTCGCTAGACGAAAGGGTTTTCCGTTTTTGAGCTGCTTCGCAAGACGAATTTCCCTATGGGCTTGCTTCGCAAGACGAAAACGTCTTGCAAGTTTGTTTCCTTTTTCTTAACACCGTTAATACAGTTGCGACTTGACTTCGAGGAGCAACTCATAGAACGCAGTGTACATAGTAGCCTTTTTGAGGTTTTTAAAGACTTTGGTGATTTTTGAAGCTTTTCCAAAACTTCTTTTGCAGCCATTTGGTAAGTTAAGCTTTTAAAACTTTTTTTGGGGGGGGTTGGATTTTGGGTTGGGGTGTTTGGAATTCAAGGACTTGGTGTTGGGAAGGGGTTTGCAAGAATCTGGAAGCTTGTGTTTTTTCTTCCCTGCACTTTTATGATTTTCTGTGACCATTGGGCCACTCTGCTGTTTTTTAAAAAAAATTCTGGATTTGAATTTCTGTGTGCTGGGTGGCTGGGGGAACAGTTGGGGAGGGGTTTGCAAGAATCTGGAAGCTTGTGGTTTTTTTTCTGCATTTTTATGATTTTCTGTGACCATTGGGCCACTCTGCTGTTTTTAAAAAATTTCTGGATTTGAATTTCTGTGTGCTGGGTGGCTGGGGGAACAGTTGGGGAGGGGTTTGCAAGAATCTGGAAGCTTGTGGGTTTTTTCCTGCATTTTTATGATTTTCTGTGACCATTGGGCCACTCTGCTGTTTTTTTAAAAAAAATTCTGGGTTTGAATTTTGAAATGCTCTTTACAGTATGTGTGACTTTAAAGAGCACTTAATAAACTCTTGTTGTACCAAATTTGGCTTTGTTTGGACTTTTTTTGACCATAGGAACGCATTAATTGATTTTCAATGCATTCCTATGGGAAACCGTGCTTCGCAAGACGAAAAATTCGCTAGACGAAAAAATTCGCGGAACGAATTAATTTCGTCTTGCGAGGCACCACTGTATCACAATTTTTTCCCAGTAGAGAGTAGTTTGATGTGGGTTTTATAATATAATCAAGACCACAGCCTGCTGCACATGGAGAATCAATACTTCTTAGGGTTTAAAATAATATTTACCACTAAGCAGATAAATAAAAAACCTGTGTACTTTACCTGTAGATCCCTAGAGATTTACATCCCACTGAAATATGTTTAATACCCATTGTTCAATATTTTTATTATTCTTTATTTGTATTTCATTTCCTAACCACCTTCATCTGTATAGATCACAGGGGCACTCCTTCATGTGTGTCGCTCCCAAGCCAGTCAAAGCTTTATACACCAATGTAAGCAACATGGTAGCCAATAGGCGCAAGTGAAGCTCCCAGAGAACTTGTGTTCTATGATTCATCCTTCTAGGAATAGCATGCAGCAAACCTGCTATGGCATTCTGCACCAGTGGCATATTCTGGATCAGATTCTGGGCAGCCCCACTATAATCTAGTTGTGCTAGAAGTTGCAATATTGCATGCTGATCACATTCTACGAAAGTTTCCCATCTCCTCATAGCTGTGCCAGTGGGGCAGGAAATATGCAAGCCCTCAGGGAGTCATTCTCATAACTCTAAACCATGATTTTGCATTATGTCCAAACACTATCAAGGAAATGTCAGCGAAGTGAGGGAGAAGATATTGTCTAAATGGAAATTTCAGTATAGTGCACAAAGAAATGTCTTCAAACAGGCCACCACTTCCACATAATTTGATACATCATCTTGCCTCCTCCCTAAAAAAAGTTTAAAAGCATCCTATTGAACAGGTTTCATTATCCATCCATCTCTCACCTTTTTATCAGAGTTGTTCATTCTGCATTTTGCATCTTTTGCTTTTTGAATAGCCTTCAACACTTCCACAGTGTCAAGTTCTTTTTCAGTGGTCACAGTATAATCCAAACAGACCTGAAAAACCAAGGGACCAATCATAATAAATCTTCTACAATAAAGCAATTTGAATCCCATTAGCTTACCCAGACAATATTAAATCAATGCAAAAGTTAAAACAAAGCCTTTAGAACTCAAGTACATATAGACAGACATCTCAACTTAAGATTCCTGCTTATCATATGAACTACCAGTAGTTAAAATTGGCAAAGCATATTTTAAACACTGGAATAGCTAGCCCAGTACTGTCAATCCTGAGTGGTAGCACCTTTTTAAAGTCTCTCACACAGGTTTCTCCTACCACTGCTACTTGATAGTATAGTTAATTGGAGATACTGGGGATTGAATTTAGGACCTTTTTCATGAAAAGCTTGGGCTCTATCACTAAATTTTCATGTTGTGGGTCCTACTCGTTTTATCAAGAAATTTTATCATATGTCACACTGCTTCTCAAAAAAATGTGCTGCTTTCACACTGTATTATACAAAAGAAAATCCCATCAAATGTTAAGTATGAGAACATTTACCTCTGAGGCTCTGTCCCCAAACTGAGCTAGCACTTTGGTCCTGTAATCGGGAATAATACTCAAAGGATTGTTGGATAAGACAACTTTTTCCAAGCATGGAAGACCGCCTATATTCTTTATTTCATCAATCTGAAAAGCACAGGAATAAAAAACAAATTCTTCCATATATTATTTTCTGATTGCTCTCTTTATAGTGATAGGCTGCAGATTGTAACTCTAAAACAGTTTATTAAGAATCCTATTCTGTGACAATAATAGATCAGAAGATATTTGCTGGTTCTGCACCAGAAGCGTGCAGATTTTTGACTATGAGGGGCTAGGGAGACTGGAGGAATGGGTGGAAACAGGACTGAAGATTCCATCCAAACAAAATGAGCTTTTTACAAAAGGAAGGAAGGGCATACATTTCAATAGCATACAATAATAAAGAAATAAATAAAGTGAAACAATACAATTGAAGTAAAATTAAAATTAAACATACTGTGCACACAAAAGCTAATTTGGGTAGTTTCATTCAAAATCCCAGAAAATAGTTGATTATTGGGGATAGTAACATCCCTCCCATAAATTTTCCTTATTTTATTTTATTACATAATACAAATGTTTGAAAGATACAGGACACAAACAACGGCTTGTCTGTTTGACATCATGTGGTCCACAAATGAGTGGAGAAATTGCCATTGCAGAGAGATATAAGCTGAGCTTTTTAGTAGACGGAAGCTACACAATAAGGTTAGAAATTTGCTCTCTTATTTAGAAAGGGGAAATAAAGATGCTCAGGATTCCATGGAGATGAACAGGAATCAGATTGCACGATTTGCAGTATGAGACCATGCTGATTTCTAGACCCCCAAAATAGTTACACATATTGTTTAACACTACTTTTTTCACTCAGTAAGACTTCTGAGTAAACATGTATATGATTGTGCTGCATAATACCTGGTCCACTTTGTTGTTGCTAAGATCCAGGTTGACTAAAGAATAGAGTTTGTTGAGGCCATTAAGTCTTTCCAGATGATTCCCTGCTAAGTTCAGTGTTTTGATATTCCCAATTTTGGTATGAATACCTTCTAGTGTTGCAAGTTTATTGTAGGATAGATCCAGATGAACGAGGTTGTACAGATGCTACAACAGAAAACAAGCAGATTACATGTTAATTTAATAGCATTTGTGCCATAAATTGACACCCCGAGGCTTTATAAAGTTGCTATTCATACACAGCAATTAAAGCGGTAATTCTATACAATTAACTTAATGGGCCTTATTTCTGAGCAGACATGCATACAATTGCAATGCTCACTTCCAAAATTGCACTGAAGACAGACTTACTAAGAGAAAGGTAATCAAGCAGGTTCAATATCAAATCATAAGCAAACATTTAAGGAACTAAACAAAAATATACACTATAATATTACCAAAGATGTCAAAGCTAACCTGTAAGTTTTCCACTAGTGGTACATCGTTGTGGCTTAAATCAAGAAATTCTATCTTCGGCATAAGTTTCTAAAACAAAGGAAGAGTAACCTTTCAGTGTGAATACTGAACACTGTTTGGAATCAGAACAACGACATGATTAGTGCTATGTTCCCAAAGAAATTTAGGAGTTCAATTTCTCAAGCAGAGCTCGAAGGCCACAAGGCACACCTCTTTTGAAAGTAAGGGAAATTTCAAAAGCAATTTGCAATATAGTATAGCTCTCTGCAGTTCAACGGGGAAAATACAATTAGGCATGATCTTTGGCAAAGGTGTTCAGAAGCCTTGATCATTTTATAGCATTCTATGAAATGACCAAGGCTTTTGGGCATCCCTGACAATGTTCAAAAGCCTCGATCATTTCACAATATGCTAGCATCAATAAGTAAAACAAATATATCACTCACTTTCTTTTAAAATTTTAAAACATTTTTAAAAATATGGTCTTACCACAGATTCATCAATTCGAGCTATGCTGTTGTGACTCATATCTAAGGTTGTTAAAGTTCTCCATGTTGGAATAACTGCGGTCACGGGACAACTGGAAGGTGCACCCTCTGGCTCCCACTGGTCAAATTCATAGGCCTCAGGAACTAGGACCTCCTGTTCAAAACACAGAGGAGAACGTTGAATGAAATTCTTTTTATTTCGACTTTTCTCCCTCCCCCAAAGAAGTTTTAGCCTTGTAAACCATTTCCCCTCAAGAATTATTATATGCAGAGATAAATTAAGCCTACATTTTAAAAGCCTGAGTTGCAAGATATTTCACCCAGAGTACTGTATGCAGTCACACTGCATCACACTGATTTTGGTGGGGTTACAAGTATAAATGCTTAGGGCTGAGCTGTAAAACCATCTCAATAAGACATCTCACAAAAACATGCTTACATTCATGCATTCAAATTCTGAATATAACTTTGTTACTTTGTGAACAGTCAAAAGCTGTAAACAACCGCCACAATATAATTGCAAATGGTTAATGTTTCAGTCTTACCATCATTGATGTTGCTGAGAACTGAACACTCAGTGTAGCCAAAGTGTGCTTTGAGGAGGTCAGCCCTTTAATAACCTTTGCGCCACAGTGATTTATCTGTTTGTTTTTTATCAAAAAGGGTATATAAAGCAAAATGAAGATCATCAGAGAAAAGCAAAATTCCATTTTTTATTACTGTACTACTACAGCTACTCCTTTAGTTCTAACACACCCAGTACCAATCTACCATGTTGGGATAAAATCAGCACCACAACATATAAACAATAAAAATCGCATTACTCCATAAAAATTATAACCCAATACTACAAAATCCAATATTCAACAGCAAACATCAAGCTAAGTGGATAAAGCACTGAAATGCAGTTAATATAGTCCAGGTGTTTGTGTAAATAGCTGGGTCTGTGATGAAAACATCTCAGCCAACAAGGACTGAAAATGATCCCAATTAACCTAAACAGACCACGCACTGGACACCGTGCCACACACTGCTTCAAATGCAGCATCATAGTACAAGCAGATATGGGCAACTTTTTTCTCTAAGTGCAGGTGGTCAAAAGTTCCACTTCACTCTAAGCCTGATCTCAATAAGCTCTTTATAACTTGGAACAACTTTGCTAGATGACATCTCAAATGCTGCAATGGAGAAAGCAAAATTAGATTTTATTTGCCTCAACAACAACATGTTTGGTTGGATATTCACTATGTGACTTGTGCTCCCTGCACTCCAGCTGCTGTCTGGCCTTCTGAAAATTAAAGAGGCTTGTGGGCTCCATAGCACTGAGAGTGAGTAGGCCAATAAACCCCTCCATCTCCAGGTTAATATTCAAGTAAGCAACTCTATCAGCTTTCAGGACAATTAATGAAGGTTTTGCAATATTTCAAAGCTGGGACCAAAAAACTCAGACATATATTGCATGCACAAAGGCCCCGTTTTGGTCCTTGGCTTCACCAAACTCTTTTTCAACTATACCTGTATCTGATGAAGAGATTTAAATATTGATAGGTCAAAAGGCAAAAGATGTTCCTGAATGTTACTGGTTCCCAAAGGTCCACTTGTGCCTGTTATCTAAAGACAAAAATTAAGATATTGCTAAATTAAGTACAAATTATGATGAATAATCCACAAGTGTTTACTGGCAAAAATAAAAAGGCGAATTTTACTGCTCCCAGGACCTATATTCAATGTAATATCATGTGACAACCATCTAAAGATGCAGCACACATATGCAGCTAAAACAACACTGCCACCTTGTGCTTATATTTTGTACCATATGGTGTTTGAGTTAAAAGACTCTTCTTCATGGGCAAACAGACTCAATATTTTTAAGGAGTAGCTAAAACAATATCCTGTGCTGGCCAATACAATCACTCAAAATATATTGGATCTTCATATATTTTTCTTTGAGGACTCTTCATTCCTGGTGATAAAATGTTTATATTAGAACATATTTACCTGCAGATACCAAGAGAAAAACTGGGCAAATATATCAAAGTGACAGTGAAACCAAATATATTTGGTTTGCACACAATTAAACATTTAATGAATGGGCAAAATATAATATCATCTGAAGCAGTTGCATAAGTCATGGCAGGTAAAGGTAAAGGTAAAGGTACCCCTGCCCGTACGGGCCAGTCTTGCCAGACTCTAGGGTTGTGCGCTCATCTCACTCTATAGGCCGGGAGCCAGCGCTGTCCGCAGACACTTCCGGGTCATGTGGCCAGCGTGACAAGCTGCATCTGGCGAGCCAGCGCAGCACACAGAATGCCGTTTACCTTCCCGCTGGTAAGCGGTCCCTATTTATCTACTTGCACCCGGGGGTGCTTTCGAACTGCTAGGTTGGCAGGTGCTGGGACCGAACGACGGGAGCGCACCCCGCCGCGGGGATTCGAACCGCCGACCATGCGATCGGCAAGTCCTAGGCGCTGAGGTTTTACCCACAGCGCCACCCGCGTCCCAAGTCATGGCAAGACCACCAATATTTCAATACGCCCAGGTGGTCCTGTCCCTGCACAGGAAATATAGTGAATCAAGGGAAGGTAACTGCAGTGAGGCACTTATCAGCAGCCAGACAGGAATACTATGCATTTTGATACTAGAGTTTAAGAGATCTATCATGTACTTTTACAAGGAAATAATGGGCAAGATATGCAGATCAAGAATTGGACATTAAGAAATGGCAATGGATTTGTATTAAGGAACTATCAAGTTTGATTTTTTTAATATACTTTTTTGTAAACTACTTTGAGGTTTGTTTTTACAACCAAGCAGTATATAAATTTTATGAAAGAAATAATAAATGTACTATCAACACACTTAAAAGAAAAGTATTTTAAAACTCAGAACCGATGGAATTTGACACCATATAGATTGAGCCAGATTTGTCTGTCAGCATGAATAAATTGTTGGGACATATAAAGCAGCATGGGCAGACTTTCTAAATATATTTTGGGACTGTCCTATAATCCAGATTGTTTGGATTACAATCTGGAGCCTAGACAGGGAAATGATATATATTACCATTAGAACCAAAGCTGTTACTATTGGGTTATTTAAAGGAATCCATTATTGATGTTGACTTGGAAATGGTAATTCTTCTCCTTACAACTAGCAATACTTGTAAAGAAGCAAACGAGGGGGGAAATATCACTCCACCATTTTCAGAATGGCTTAACATAATATGGAACATAGCAATACTAGCCAAATTAAAATACTGTATTACAGAAGAATGAGTAGAAAGATGATGTGTGATGTTTTGGAACAATCTTCAGGACATTATTCAATCTTTGCTTATTACAATTATCAGCATGTAGAATTTATTTCAAAATAAAAAAATGGAAAAGAACACATTTACCTTTAAATATTTGAGTCTACACGTGAAATCCAGAATGTGACCAAGATCAGTTTTGGCATCTCCATTTGCACATGTTGGCTTTCCCCGACGAAGTTGTTGAGTAATAGCATATAACTGCAAGGGTCTGATATTAAAGACCTCACCAGCCATAAGTAACTGCTCTCCTGAGAAACAAAAATAAGAGATTTGGCAAGCATTCACCAATATTACTGGGAGAACAATAAAACAGAAATGCTACAATTTGCCTTATAGATGATTGCAATCTTCTAAGTCTTTTTCCATTTCTGACCAGAATTTGCAAAGTTTAACCGGGATTTCTATATATCATAATAGTACCAAGCTATATATCATAATAGTACCAAGCACCCACTGCATATGTAAGCACTTAGACAAAGTTGAAAAACCTTTTTAAAACATCTAATTTATTTTATTTTAGCTGTGTTTAAAGCTGTCCAGGGTCCCCCAGGAGCAGATTCTGAGGGTTATCTTGGGGCTGCAGGGAAGAGGAGAGGAAGGTGAAGTCTCATTGAGCAAGTGCAAGTCTGCTAAAGCAACACTGGATTTTGCTGTACATCCCTTACTTTTGGCAAGAGCCCCACCTCTGCCAACCAATATAAGATGTGATGTGACACACCACTGTAGAAAAAGAATCACCTAACACACATAAAGTTACTGAGGAAGACAGTTATTATATGTGCTTGATGGCATGTTACATACAAACATGCACATCTGCTTTGGCTAGCTTCAAATCTAAGAGCACAGTTCTATATGTGTCAGTTCCGATGACAGCCACAGTGATTTCAATAGATTCACTCCCAGGTATGTCCCTAAATTAGCTATAGAGAAACAGCACACATGCCAAGAATTTTATTGTGTTTAGAGGAATTACAGTTTTTTTCAGCATCAATGAAAGATTATTTATTCACTCAAGCCTTTAAAATAACATGTGTTTTTATAATCTGGGCTTTTCAATTTTATGATTAGATTTTTATTGTATGCATGCCAAAAATGAACATTTATTTATGCTGCTCTTGCTGCTTTGTATTTTTAATACCATATTCTATTTTGTGAGTGATCCAGTGAATATATGTTACTGGGTGGTCATACAAAATAAAAAATAAATAAAAAATACCTTTGTGAAAGAGTTCTTCAGCCAATGCAGCTGTGATCCCAATGATTTCCTATAAAGAACAAGCAAATGGAAGAAAAAATCACAAACTTCTGCTTGAACATTTTTTAAAAAAACATAAAACAAGATTCAATATATCTTAAAAAATAATACAGAATTAAAATAATCCAAACACTGAGTGATGTTCAGTGCTGGCTGTACTCAGGAAATTAAGTCAATTAAGTGAGAGGCTATTTTATCCCTTATATACCCAGTACATCACAGCACTCTGCAGAAGACATTAGTTCAACTCATTAGCTGCTCGGCCAATAAGGAAGAAAAAGTGTCTGAAATTATTCCCCAGTGGAGATGAAGGCTGTGTGTCCATTTTTCTTTTTTTAAAAAAAATTCTTTTTAATGAACTAAGCTACTGCTGGGGAAAAGATCCACAAGACAGGGAAGAATCTATTTCCTTTTACTGCAGTTCTAATTGCACAAGTTACAACCACTTCATTTCCTCAATGGTACAATAATTAAAACTGCTGTATCAGATGCAGATGGTGTGTATCAATGAACAACTTGAGAGAGGAAGCTATTTCAAAATAGGAAGATTACTTTTAAAGAAGAAATCCGTGAAGAAGAAAAGAAAGGGAAATACGTAAGGAATGACATTTGTTTCCCTGTGACATTATCCTGATAATCAGTCAATATTTGGAGCTAAATGCAATTAAGAAAATTCAGCAAGAATGAACTATAAATGCATAATCAGAAAATGCTGTATGAAATCATTAAACATCAAAATATGCATCTAATATATAAATGGCAATGAAACGTAATCATTTAGCACCTGTGCCTTAGTCTTCGATGGGACATACTCTGGTCACAGTTCAAATAATATGTAAAAGGGTTTGAAAAAAGACCAACAAATTATTGTGCTGCAAGATTTTTTAAAAAGGGTGACTACAAATACAGAAGAGAAAGTGTGCTGAAAGGTTTTCTGAAACTCAAGCTATGAAAAGCAATAGATGAAAGGCACAAACACCCTAAATTCACACTGGTCATTTCAAGGCATATTTCTGAGAAGACAAGTTGTCAACATAGTGGACTACAATTCTCATCAGCCCCATGCCATTTAAGATAAGAAATTTAAAATAAGAACTGAACTCAGAATATTTGACAATAAACCATAGTGAAGAATGGCAGAATGCAACTTACGTATAAGTGAAAATGTAAGAACTGGGACAATACTTTGGGTGCAGCCAAGGGAAATGTAAGAAGGAGAGTTTGTAGATAGACTTCCAATTCTTTTTGTCTTTTTTCTACCAAACTTTTGGAATTCTTGCCAATAATCTTCTTAGGAGGTAACAGATTCTTATCTATTCTCTTTTCTGAAACAAGCTGTAAGACAAAGAGTTAAGATTGTTCCTAAATGAATCAGAGTTTTCAGAAATTGGTATTTACTGCTTACACTAAAAATTAGGGCCAAACTGAAATAAAATATTTATTTTGTCAGTAATTACCAATATAGTTTTTGAAAACTCAGGGTAATATAAAGTGAGATCTTTTTTAAAAGCTTTTACATACTGCTTTGCATGCCTTCCAAACCAATTTTTAAAAATGGGGGGACAGGGACGGGGGTCAGGACTAAGGTCTCAAAAAAGATTTGTACAATACAAACAGCAACAACGTAAATCAAACAGACAAACAAACAGACCAACTTCCTTAAAGGTCTTGCGGAATAACCGAGATAGTGCCAGGAGAGTAGGTTCTTAATATTGATGAAATGAATAACATTGGCTTGGATCCAGAGATACCTTGCAGTTGTGAAATAGCACTTCATTTGGGTAAGACTGCTTTGCTGAATTCACCCAATTTCCTGTCCTGCTGCATCCGATCCTATGCTATACCAGAAGATCTGCTGATCTTCAGGAATGGTCTTTGGGGAGAGGAGGGCAAGTCAGAAAAGCTTCACTGCATGAGCAGAGTTCCACTCCAACCTAATTTTTAACATAATGAAGTGAATGCCTTTCTCTTTGGGGGGGTGGGGGAGAGGTTATAGTCTACATTATGGTTCAACAATTCTGAACTTTAAAGTCAGCAAATGTTCTTCATTAATGAGCTCAGGAACCAAATGATGACATATTACCACTCACAAGGCTCAAACACCACTAAGAATAGGAAACTAGCAGGTACCAGAAATTAAGTAATGACCAGGTTCCTACTATGACCATGTAAACAAATGAACTTGGATTTTCATAAGCAGATCGTTATTTTCCATAGGCAATGGTTAAAAAAACCAAGCAGATTTTACCTAATATAATTTGCTCTCAGTGCAATCCCATACATTTCTACTCATAAGTAAGCCCTACTGTGTTCGATAGAATTTGCTCATGTGTGGGTAGATAACACCTTACTGGCCCATTAAATGTTAACAATGCCTTGAATCCTATGATTGGTACTCTCTTTTCTTTTCTTTTCTCTCTTCTCTTCTCTTCTCTTCTCTTCTCTTCTCTTTTCAGCAACAGCTCTCACTCAATTGTGTGTGTGTGTAGGGGTCTGGATTCTGACTGCCGAATAGCAAGGAGGGAGGTTTTAGCTCTTTCTATGTGAAATTTTCATCAACAAAAATCGGGTGCAAGATTCTTGCATTGCTGGGAGTTCAAGTAGATGACCTTCATGGTCCCTTCCAACTCTAGCATTCTGTCACAAAGCCATATGCTGGGGGAGGGGGGAACTCCCTCCCTCTCATGGTGTGGTCTCCCATATGGCTTTCCTTTCTTTTTAAAGAGAATCGAAATGTGGGGTATCTTTTGTTTCTGTGTTTTCACCGCTTTTAATTATTTTATATATAAAATGTATTGAGACACCGGGTTAGAAGAAGAGTAATAAATCAATGTTAATAAAACAGTAACAGAGTCATTACAACAAACATTTTAAATATGAGGATATTTACCTTTTCATGAAGTTCATGGAAGTCACTGTATCGATGTTTGACCACCCACTGATGGTTGCCAATGCTCACTTGAATGATGTACACCTAAATAAAATACAACTCTTAGCTGATAAAGGAACCTAAGATGGGCAATGTTTACACATTCAGAGATACAAAATCCCTCCAGTGTTTGTGTAACATTAAATAAAGGCTGCCAGTTAGGTTCTGAGCTTCTGCACACCCCAAGAATACCTAAACCTGTGCAAGTACAGCATACTGACACACAAAGCAGAGGCCTGTTACCAGCAATATTCAGGTACCAGTTACTGGTTTAATTTGAAGAACACACACACATCTTCCTTCAGCAAAAATGATATCCTATATCAAGCAAGCCATTGTGATTTGCCAACAAGAAACCAGCACAGTTATGAATCGCAATGCTTCCATCACATTTATGCTGTGCTCCCTGATAAGCTGGGCATAATACTGAAAGGACAAGTAAGGCAAGAGGAGCAGACAGAAATAACTGAACAGAGGTAACAGTGACAAGCAGACCTCCCTCTCCTCAAAGCCCTTCTTGCACCCAAAGTATTTGCCCAGTGACAGCCTATTGACATTCTTCAGCCACTAGGAAGTGTCATGAGATACTCTGGGATCTGTATTGCTTTCTATCGAAAACAAGGCCAAGACTGTATCTGGTGTTAGTGACTGAGCTTAGATTTGAGAGATAATGATAAAAACGTTTATCCAAAAAACATATAAAACTTCACACAGTATTACAGCATTGCCAGCATAGTGGAGAGAGATTTGCATTGATTTTGGAAAGGCACACTAGAGTCCAATACCATCTAAGTATTGTTTTTAGAGTGGATTCTTGAATCCTAGAAGTTATAGTTTTTAATGGAGCATTTACCCATATTTGATCCCATTTATGTTCATGAATCTGACATTTAAGGTCATCCTCCCAAGATATGCTAAGATCCTGGGGAGGAACCCATAGCCGGCCTTATTAATAACTGTAAATATTGGATATCTTTAGAATTCAGATATATTGAACATATTTGTCTGTAAGGCAGACAGCTGGGTGGTCCAATATAGGAAATAAAGGGGATGTAGATGGAGCTAAGTGTGAAACCGTCTCTTCCATACCCTGAAAGTCAATTGAAAAAAGAGATTGTGTATTTTCCCAATACACACTCAATAAGGATTTTTTAAAAGGCAGAGCATTAACTGAAGGGGTGGTGCAGAATAATTCCATTTGAACCCACAAGATCTCCAGCAAATCAGTAATAATATGCATTATTTGTGCAAGTTGAAAGCATCATAATATAATATAATATAATTTAAGATAAGGCACCCCCAATCCTCTTTTGTCTCTAGGATGATACAAACTTTGGAGGGTTGTTCTACTACTAAGTACTGTATTAATAATAAAGGTTACTGATAATTACTTATTCAGTATTTTAATGAAGTAGGATTTTAGGCTTTGTATTCTGTGACCTAACATACAGAGTTTTTGAGCAATACTTTCTCTCTCATCACATCTCTCTTTCCCAAAATTTATATGGATGATCTCTATTAGAACAAACAATACCGGGTGTTTTTCTAGGAGCATGATATTTAAAGCAGCTTAACATTCTGGCTTGTTGAGAAGTCATTAATTATCATTTCTCAAGTTGTATGTTATGGGAAGGTATAGTTAAGTGGACACTTCCTGCTTTGTTCACAGGAAGGCAAGGCAAAGGAGCTGCATTTAAGTTCATCAGGTTTGGTCATAGTACGGCTTAAGCAGTCAATATATGATTGTTTGAATGCAGCCTGTATGCTTCATTTCAATTATAGTATAATCATATAATCATGCATTAGTCCCTGCATTAGCAACTAAGGAAGAAGGTTGTGAATCACTAATTCTGAAATGATAACCAGATCTATGATTAGCATTTCCTCTACATTAGTATTTTTAATACTGCATGTTACAAACAAGGCACTACAAGAGTGCTTTAAAATTGCTTCATTTTCAAATCTCATGCAGAACTAAGCATATATTCAGGGTTGTCTCTATCTCATTCACAGCTTGTCCTATTTTAATACTGATATAGGAAATTGATGGCGGGGGCAGATTAACATACCATTATGTTGTACTATGTTGATAACATAATTCTATTACTAAAAGAAGCTACCTGATTTTCAGCAATTTTCAGCTGTCACAGGCACACAAGGCTGCAGCGTAAAACCCTGTTGCATGAGTAGACGTCCACTCGTGCAAAGTCTGAATGTAATTCAAATTATCTTCCTCTGATCACACTAACTAAAACGCTTAGCAAAAGTCATTAAGGTGTATATCAGAAAATAATAATAATAATAATAATAATGCTCAGGACTCAAACGTTTTATCATAAAACAAGGGAGCTTTAAAAGCAAAAGTTAGAAAAGTAACAGGATACTGTTTGATATATCTACAGTATTCCCCATTTTAAAAAACTCAGTCCAAAGTACAAATATTTTTTTCCTGCCAACGCATGCAAATAATTTAACTGGCATGAGACATCATTAATGGCATTTTAACCACATCACTGTCAGAAATCTGTTGGTCTTGGCATTAGTTAGGTGGTTACCTTTATACTCTTAGGCTGGAATCCAATGCATCTTTATCTAGAAGCATGCCTCACTCAACACAGACTTATGTCTAAGGAAACATGTAGGGGACTTAACGTTAAATTAGATTAGATTAATAAATACTGTTTAAAATACTTCACTGATATAGAGAATAGAAAAGAGTGTGTACTCTTGTATTCTGAAGGTTGATGAATACATGCCTATTTCTAGAATGAGACTCCACTACCTGAAATCAATTATTTTCACTGCTTATTTCTATGGAACAATACAAATGAAATAATATGGAGCAACCTAGCTATGATAGTGGCTGCAATCTACAGAGGCTCCATGTGCATTTGGAGGAGGGGGAACCATGCACACAGCAGGAGGTTTCTTTGAAGTTCTCACTGCAGCAGCTCTGGCTGTTGAGGCAGCAAGCTGTTTTGCAAATTGAACCATGGCAGTAGGAGCTGCTGCAGCAAATACTTCAAAGGAAGCTCAGGCTGTGCACTCAGTTCTTCTCTGTGCACACACTTTTCTGGACTGTGTCTCTAGAATCACAATAATCAGCATGTATTTACACACAAGAGAAGACAGGGTTGTTTTTACATTTCTCACAGCACAATCCTTTTGTAAATGAAGCTTCAAAGCCTGTACACTTCATCATCAATGTCACTTATCTAGCTATTGCTTTGTATTATCTAGTAATAATCGAAAGATCTGCAGTTACAAAGGGCAATGTTATTACCCAAGTTGATAGGTAAGCTATGTGTTTTGAGCTTGCAGTTTTCATTAGGGACACTAAATACAAAGTAGAGTATATACAAAATCTCTCATAAAAAAACAATTGCATATTTTCATTTCAGATTGGCTCTTAAAAGGAAGCTTGGAAAAGGGAATCTTTGCACTGTCTCGTCTGCAGCCCACCAAAAGCCGCTCCTGAGGATGAAGGAACTCTCCAGAATAGGATGGGGCAGGACACAGGGGCCGCAGGGGGAATTACTTTGTCCCCCTTACTAAGGCATTGTATCTCCCTTTGATTTCAGGCAGCCTCCCACACCTTCAGGAGCAGCTTTTCCAGGGGTGCAGGAAGCTGTCGTGGGGAGATAAGGGTGGGAAAGTCTCCTAAGGGCTTCTTGCTGTTCATAATTCTGAGAAACAAAGAAAAAATACATGCAGAACCGTGGGCACAATCCAGTCAAAGTTGGGGAGGGGGAGGGGGAATCACTTCATCTGAAATAAGTGCAACTCAAATGTGCTTACCTTCAGCTGTTTAAGAATTCTTAATTTTATTAAGTCCCCCCCATATAACATAACTTAAAAATACATTTTTAATGAGTGCAACCTAATTCCTATGAAGAGATACTAGTGAGTTGTTCAATAAATGGTGAGAATGTGTATTGCCAAGTAGGCTGATGGGAACATATATTTGCATAATATAAATGGGGTTTTGGCTATCCCCAATTGCACCAAAGCATGGAGAATGTGTCCCTGACTTCCCATAGGGAGGAATGTCAAGGGACTAGGAAGACTTTTGGAACTGCCCTTTTTTTGGCCCACGGTGTTGGACAGCGGTGTAGCAGGGTGGAGGGGCACCAGGGCGATTGCCCTGGGTTCAAAAATTTATAGGGATGTGCTTCTGAGCACATGCAAAATACTCCTTCCCTCTTAGGCTGCAGTTGCAGCTGCTGCCCTGACCAAAGGCACTCCCTGTCCCACCTGCCTGCTTCACCTGAGCAGGACACCAAACAGGAGCTAGGATAGGAGAGGCCCTTGTATTCCTCAGCTGTGTGGCGTCTCCTGATGGTGAGACAGGTGGATGGACGGCGAGACTTGAGGCAGTGGCAATGCCCCAACCTGAGGAGGTGTGCACATATATCCTGCACTGCTCCATCTGGCAGCAGCAGCAGCACTGCATGGAGGCACTGCGATGGCCAACAACTCTGTCCTGCCCACCGCTGGCTTCCTCTGCCCATTGCCCTGACCCTCAGCAGAGATGCTCCCACCCATTTCAGCCTGCCCTGCAGCAGGGAGGGTCATGTGCCCACTCAACAACAGCCCCGACAGCGCGGCACTCTGTTGCCACACACTGTTCTTCGAAACCAAATCCACCGCCACCTTTTTCTCCAAGCATAGAGAAAGGTGCGCAAAAGGGAAGGAGCCACAGAGGTTGTGCAGAGTGCAAGCCAATGATGGCAAAGGTTTGCACCATCGGAGTGCTCCCATTCCATCAGAAGGGTTACTCTGTGCTCACCATGAACTGAGATGTCAGTGGTTGGTTCCAGATGGTCCCAGTCCCTGAAAAACAGACTCTCGCATGGTGGGCTCCTCAAACTTTTCCTTGACTGTGATATATGATTGCTTCTTCCTACAGGTTAGGGGGCTCAATACTTGCCTTGCCCTGGGCACTGGCAAACCACGCTAAGCCACTGCAGTTGGAGGAGCTGACTTCTTGGATATCAAAGAAGTAGATCTGACAAGGGGCCATGGGGCTGCACCCTTACTGAACTGTGTTACTAGGGATGAAAGTAGATCTGAGAGAGGGTAGGGATTGATGTAATGGCTGCCAGACACTGCTGACTCTTAAGCAGGGAAAAGTATAGCTTACTTTGCTTACTTATATAGTTGTGTAAGGATATTCATTGGTCGCTCTCACAAATAAAAACGCTGCAAGTTTCCCAAAGCCAAGTCTAGTACCTTTCCCATCATCATAAGTTACCTGGGACACTGCAAGTCCATTACAGTCATACCTCATGTTGCATTTGCTTCAGGCTGAGCTTTTTCAGGTTGCATCCCACGGCGACATGGAAGTACCAGAAAGGATTACTTCGGCGTTTTGCTGCTCGCATATGCGCAGACGCTCAAAAATGACATCACGCGCATGCGCTGAAGCAGCAAATCGCGACCTGCACACACGCGGGTTGCGTTCTGCTCAGGTTGTGAATGGGGCTCTGGAACGGATCCCGTCCGCAACCAGAGGTACCACTGTATCTTACAAAAGTGGAGAGCTGCCACACAGTTACTAATTTTTTAGAGGGAGAATTATGAGAGTGAAATTTTTAGAGGGGCAGGCGTTCAAGTCTATAGCAGCAGCAGCAGCAACAACAACAAAACCCAAAAGGAATCTTGAAAGGCTAACCAATTTATTATGGCATATGCTCTTTTGGACTACAGTCTACTTCATCAGCAAACATATTTCCTGTCTATGGTTTCCTTATTATTATCATGAGGTTGCTGTGGTAGGCGACCTACCAGTCTCTCTTCGTTTTACATTGGGTAGAACCAGCAAATAAAAGTATTCACTAACAAACAAGGCGCAAGCCAAAATTAGCACTGTGAGGAGGACTGTTTGCCTAATTTTGGCTGGATTAGTCACTATAATATCATTATCTGCTCTGCACACAGATCAAAAGAATTACATTTTGAAAGTACTTTATCTAGACTGCTTTCTCCCCCTTCTCTCTTATTTTAGCTAGCCCGTGTACTCAAGGGGGAAAATATTTTCAAAACTCTCACACTGCAGTTCTATCTCTGCCAAGTATCTCACATTATGTAAATCATTTCCATTATACCCTGATTTTTTTTACACTTTACGTATTAAAAATGCAATCAACAAGGCCTGCATCTATGCAGCATTAGAAATGGGACATATATATCACTTTTAAACCAATGTGGTGCCATGTATTCTCACCCCTTCATACTATTAAAATAGGCATAAACAGGTTTAGAAATCTGTTTTCACACTACAAAATTCATTGATGAGAATGGCTCAAGACTTCATCTAAGAGAATGGCTTAGCTAAAACAAAACTAGGAGGCACACCCATTTTCATTTATGTAACCAAGTAGTTTGAGATGTTTCAATGGTAAGATTCTGGGTTGGCTTCTAAAGCTGCAAGGTAACTGTAATGTACTTGTCCATACAGACAACTCTGTATAAAAAGTTTATTGGTATTGATAAGAACATTACTACAACTAGTGTAATGCAAATCAAAGCATCTTCTCCTCTAACCCCACCATTCAGAAAGAGAAGCATTTCATAGTTTTAACAGTTGCGTAAGATTATCATACACTGAATTTGATCCAGACTGGAAAAATGTCCCCTTGCCCATTGCCACATCCCTTCTGCATATTATTTTAAAAAACAACATACCAAATGTATTATATGTTAGGTCATGCGTTTGGGCCAGTTTCTAAAGGATGCTTTGTATCTGTTTACCATGAAGTGAGAGGGCAGAATAAAATGAAGCTCATACCAGAACTTGGTTTTTCATTTGGCATACCCATTTCGAAGGCAAGTATTTTAAACCTCAACCTGAAGAGAGACAACAACATCTATGGCCTCCCTCACATGGGTGCCAAAGGATTGGGGGGGGGCGCGGGGATGTAAAACACTAAAAAGCGGAAGAGAGGGCTAATTTCTCACAAAAAAGAACCTATAAGCACATTTTGCCTCCTTTCTCTGGTTCTACAAATGCTAGAAAGATGAGACTCTGGGGAAGATGGTTCATGGCTGGAGTGTTCTCCCCCGCCCCAACACCACCTTTGCTCTCTCACATGCATTTTATTTCTTTGCTTTCGGAGTTAAGTGTTCCCGCCCAAGGAAGAGTTCTGTGTAACTCGGAAGCGCACAACCATAACACAGACCCGATGAAGCCTGCAATCGTTTCCCAACAGGGCAATATCGGATCTGGATGCACCAAGAAAGCGTCTCTTTAGCAGGTTTTCTCCAACCCGCTCCCCATTTATCCCCGCATCGTTATTCCCCCTTCCCACGATACAGATACACAGTGCGTGTGTACGTGTATCATGATCAGGAGATTCCCGTCCTTTTCCCCGAGAGAGGGATGAGGGACCCAGGGAAAGACTTGAACTCTTCCCTTTGAGAAAAAGAAACCCACCACCGCCCTGACCTCGCCTCCCCTTCCTCGCCCCTCCTGCCGCCGCCGCCTCACCGTGTAGGTCTCCACCAGCTCCGAGCCAAGGATCCGGACCTCTTTCGGGGGCTCCTCGCCCTCCTCCCCGGCCCCGACCACCTCCATCTCGGCCGCTCTTCAGACAAGAAGAGGGCAGGGCAGGGCGCGAGGGACGCGGGGAGGGTAGGCGCCGCTGGGGCGGAGAAGCTGCGCTCACTCGGCCGCTCTCCTCAGGCGAGCTCTGCCGGCCGCTGCTGCTGCTGCTGTTGTTGTGGCGGCCGCTGCTGCTGCTGCGCTGCCCCCTCCCCACGGGCCGCTGCCAGCGCAGCACCCGCCGCCGTCACAGCCGCCATGTTCGGCTTCACTCCGCCCGCCTGCCCGCCTCCCTAACTCGGCTGGCTCCGGCGGGGGCGGGGCGAGGAGGAGGAGGAGGAGGAGGCCTCGAGAGACGCCGCCGCGCGACAACTGTCATTCGCAGCCTGCGGAAGGGTCCAGGAAGCCCCGGGCGTAGGGGGCGGGGCTAAAGCGCGGGAGGGGGGGAAGGAAGAAACATGGACTTTCAAGAGAAGTAGAGCCGCAGCTCCTACAGCTGGAGGACGGAGCTTCCGGGTTACTTTCGACCCCTAAAAAAAAAAAAAGAGGCAGCTCCTCAGAGGAGAGGTAATGGAATGCAATGTGGCCCGAGTATTCCCTGCATTTTTCTAGCAACGGTGCCCCATCTGTTGCTTGTTCCCATCTGTTGACTTGCAGCTTCACCCCTGAGTTTCTTTTGGAAAGAAGGTGTTGCAGTTCGGATCCGGTGCTGACATAAGAAGCCGGTTGCTCCGCCAGCCACAGAATCCCCCATTCTCGACTAGTGAGTCCTTGGCCTGTGCTACTGAGCCACCCGCATCTATTACTACAAGTTAACCCAGACAACACAGACTGCCTCGTTATGTTGCAAATCACCCCTACAATCTGGCTTTTGCTGTTATAATGGTAGCCTGCACCTGTGAAGGAGGCTCCATTTTTACCTGGAGAGGCACGGAAAGAACCTCCATTATGCAACGTAGATATGTCCAGGCAAATACTGTTTATGCAACAAATTGCTTCACCTCGTGAGTACACCCATGGACGTAAATCTTTGTCATCCTGTTATCCTTGCTATCTTACAAAATTCAAAGGTAAACAAAAGAGATTTAGATGGAAGAATCCTCATGGAATGTTAAGCTAATAAATAATCAGCTGAAACGCTAATAGAAAACTTGCCCTTCCTTCTCCCTCACCGGATCAACTATCCAGCAAGGCCCAAAGGATGTGGCAATCTTTCTGTCCTCACTAGCTCTCAGCTGGCTCATTAACCAACTATTTTTCTCTGCCTCTTAACCACAGTCTGTCTTGCTCTTCAAAATGCCTATTTTTTTTAAACTCCTGTGGCTCCAGGGAGACATTACCAAAAACAGAATAAGAGCTTTTAAGTTCTGCACTCAAATTTTTCCCCCTAGCTACTGTATGAGTCCCAAGCAAGTTTTGTCTTTCTTTTCTGAACATGACTTTAATTTTTTTTAAATGTAATTTATGACAACTGTCTGGGGCATGCGTTTTAAGGATTATTTTTGGACTTGTCTACGTTAACCTTTATGGTAGGATTTAGATCTCTAATAATTTATGTAACCTCTTTAAGAATTACTGTATTAATAGTGTCTGTTGTTTTGCTTATAGCTCCTGAAAAATGCTTTATTATTTTACTTCTGAATGCACTGAGCTACAAGAACAAGCTTTGCAGCAGTGTGAACCAGAGCCTGTTCACCTTTTTGGCTCATTCATCAAGTAGAGCCAGCCAGTACCAGCCTAAGACAGTTTGCTATAAGTGGCGAAGGACAAAATGGTCCCTTCCCTACCCACATTCCATGTTCAGAAACCCACCAGACTGGCAAGCAAACACCAGGGCTGGAGCAGCATTCTCCACTGTGCCTGAAGGCAGCAAGCTAGTTTAGAGGGTACAGGGCAGCTCGGTTCTCCACCACCTCACAGCTATTTTCCTGGCCACCTCCTGGCCACATCACACTGCTTAATGATAGGGTGCCCCAGAGCCATCCATTACCTGAGAATACAAGTGCAGAGGATGAAGAATTTAGAATGCCAACTCTTAGCATTGGAAGAATGGAGAAAAACCTCTCCCTTTGACCAGGAGGATATTTAACATTTGTTATAATTATATACAGTGGTACCTCTGGTTACGAACTTAATTTGTTCTGGAAGTCCGTTCTTAACCTGAAACTGTTCTTAACCTGAGGTACCACTTTAGCTAATGGGGCCTCCTGCTGCCGCCGCACGATTTCTGTTCTCATCCTGGGGCAAAGTTCTTAACCCGAGGTACTACTTCCAGGTTAGCGGAGTCTGTAACCCAAAGTGTTTGTAACCCAAGGTACCACTGTATTAGTCTTATTGATCTTATGTTAGCTGCTTCATGAGCATTGTTGGCTGATGTGGGGGTAAAACACAATATGACTGAACAAATAAATATAGGAAATAAATCCATGTTAAGTGATCCTGACTATTGTAGTGCCATTCTTACGTACCTCTACTCATTCAAAGTAAAGCCCACTTGCAAATTCTTCACATAAGTTTCCATTTACAGATGAATTAGTTTCTTGCCAGCTCTACCTACCTGTGTGCAAACACAGTTGGACAGAGGGGGGAGCTCTGAATCAGTGGAGAGAGAGATTGTTCACTCTAGCATATGTATAACCTCAATACCAATGCATGTCCCTAAACAAGCTAAGTGAATGATGGAACAAATTGTTTTGCCAAGGGTCGACATGAGTTAAGAATTTAACCAGCTTACCCCACAGATGCTTGCAGAGAATTTGGTAAGAGTCAGTTCAAACATTTGGACTATTGTGTGGTACAGTTATTCAGATGGAAGACTCTCCTTCACTACTTAAAAAGGAAACAGAAGTGGTTCCATTGGGTGGAGTGAAGGACTGTGCCATAAACCTGCATGTGAAAGGTTTATATTTGAATTGTTTCTCAATTGTCACAGAGTGTACAGCTAGACCACCATAGGCTCATGTTCTTGCCCCTGACATTGTGATACACGTGTGGAATCTGGAAAAGGCTTCCTTTGGAAAGGACAGGTCTTTCGATAGGATACTCATGTTCTGTTGGTAGAAAATCAGCTGTGCATAGTATACAAAGCACTGGTTTTGCTGTCAGTAAGTCATATGGATGAATTTGAGCGCGGAAAACTAAAGCACCCCCAAAACGTGGAACCATCATTCCGTACGTGTGCCATCTGATCCCTGAAAGAAGCATAAGTGTAGCAAAGATCAGGTTGCACTTTAGTTCTGAAGTATAAAACAAACAAAGTAAGCATCAGTGGAATTAGGATCATGTTTTAGAAATGTCAGCTGTAACAAACTTTGCATGCTTCCCATTGAGACAAGTTGAAGAGTCTTGCTTAGAATGGATAGGATGGCTTTATATGCCGGGCTGTGTAGCGATCAGCAGTCCCTGGCTGACACATTTAGGGCTGACAGCCTACTATATAAGCAGAGCTTCAAGGGACAGAGAGCTGGCAGAGACCTTAATTTTGTCTCTGTACAGTTTGTCATCTCCATCCAGCACCGGGCCAACAGTAACAAACCATGGATGATATTTACAAGGCAGCAGTAAGTAATATTTTCATACATGATAATACAAAGCTGAGGCTGGGACTTGCTTCTGCATAAGCAAGCACAGGATTATGCTCCACATGTCTTAACAAGGTGCAAATATTAATGTTCTGGTTAATGCTAGTGATGATGTTAGATTCATTTTTATCATTAATGTTAAATGTAATAATGGAGATCCTTCAACTTGTTGATATGATAAAGAGATTTGCCATACAGCTTAAGTTCCTTAAAAAAACCAAAAAAAACTTGGACAAATGCATTGTTGCTTAATGTAATGAAACTTACTGTGTTTTATGTGAAAGTCTGTTTTCATTGTAGCCCAGCTCTAAATAGAGTATATATTTTAGGTTTTTGTTTAATGGATTAGGGATGCCTAACTGCATAAGGCTGTTGTTGAGCATAATTTCAAAACTACTTTATCTTTGTACTATTATAGCCAATATGTTTTACAGAAAATGCAGATAGCAGTGAAACAATTTATTATTTATATATGCAAATATAGTTTTTTTCCAGAAGTTCACAAGCTGAAGGGTTTTTGTTGGTTTGTTTAATTCGGAATTCATCTATAATTTCCCCTTCTGCTCGTAATTGTGAACTACAAGGGGGCCTGAGAAGTAATGTGGTTATAATTTTTTGCGCCTATGGTTTTGACCACTGCTCTGCAAGACGAATTTTGAAGGAAAATGCTCACTCTGTTCAATGAAGAAGAGGACACCAGATCACAATTGCCTAAATTTCAGGAGAGTTAGATTAGTTATTATTTTTAGCTTGGAAAGTAAGTCAAAGGGGTAAGGAGAGAAACTAATGACAATAACAGAAATACTCTCACTAATTCCATTTTAATCGGGGGAAGAACAGTTCTGGTTATATTTGTAGTCTAACTGGGCTTATGTTCTGCTGTGGTTAAGATTGTTAATAAGAAACCCTAATAAGACAGATGGAAGAAAGGATGATTCCTGCCTGAGCATATCCTGGTGGTGGCTAAGCTCCTACAAGTAGGTTTAAACAGCTGCTATGTGCTGTAAATAAATAATCCACTGAGGCAAAAGAATGTATCTGGGCTGTGGACACATTTCTGTCTAAAATACAGAAGATTCTTTTTCCAATATGGGACAACACTGGGCTATCTGGGTTCTGCATGTTTTGCATTTTCTTACTAATAAAAGGGTCTGCAGTCTGCAAGTTGGTAGTCAGCCCCAGACAGCACTGTCTGCTTTCTGAGCAACACTGTTGAGACTAGGCTCATCAAAGCATTGAGGGAAATTTATTTATAGCAAAATTTACTTTACATTTAGTACAGTGGTTCTACACCCCTTGTCATAGCCTTTATCTTATTTGCCTTTACAACAATTATAGAGGAAGTCACTGGTTTTCCCATGTTGTAGGAATAGAATTACAGCCACTTAAGAGAGTTCTTCCTCCTTGTCCATTTGGGGCTCCTGGTCAACAAGATGATCCTTTGTGTGTTGCCTTAGCTTAAGCCTTGTACATGTTTATCTTACGACATTTGTATCCTACTCTTTGCCCAATGAGCTCAATGCTGATTTCTTTCCCCATTTTATGCTCACAACAGACCTATAAGGGAGGTTTGGTTGAGAGATGTGACTTGCCAGAGGCCGAATGGCTGAGGCTGTATTTGACCCCAGGTCTCTCTCTTGTCCAATCCTTTAACAAGTTAACATAAAAAGGCAGCAACTGGGGTGCCGAGCTGGAAACGAAAGAATGTTACATTAGTCCGTCATTTACTGCAAAGTACAATCATCTTTACATGCATGCAACTGCTCCTGTAACACATGTAATTTTGCAACCACTTGTTCAAAGGAATCCAGCGGATTTATCACGTTGCCCGCTCACATCTCTTCTGCAGAGCTAAGTTTGGAATGCTTTCCAGATGCCAGTGTATACAAAGAACATTTTCAGGGCCATGGGTTGAGATAAAAGCCTCCGGTGATAAATACCAATGTCAGTCAGCTTCTGTGAACAATCAGAAGGGTTATCTTTCTTAACAGCATCTCAGTCACTAGGGCATAAAAATAGCCAGCGTGCCAAAATAGTCAAGTTATGTGGAGCACACAAAAGTGACAGGAGGCGTTTGTTTGCTGTCTCCAACTATCTTGGGTTGTTGGGGGTTTTTTTTCTTTTTCTTTTTGGTCATCACAATGAAAGAGCATCTCACAGCTGCTCTACTTCCATCACAGAGGCTTATATAAGCAGGTTCAGGTTTCACTATGAAATTTTGAACTGGCATCTTGCTGCTATTGTTATCTGTTTCCATAGATTATCCCCCTCCCCCATCTTGTCATTCGTTTTCTGCAGCCTTCCAACGCAATACAAGCAAGGCTGATGGATGGGAGACCAGTATTTCTATGGGGTGGTTCTGACCTCATAGGTAATTGGAAAAGATTTTACAGGTTGATCCATGTGTGTCAGTTTACTCTGAAAAGATTCTCCAGACGCAAACAGGACTGGTCAGGAGTAAGGGATTGTTTCTCAACAGCCATCTTTACACAAAGGTGTGTAAGGGGGACAGGGCAGAAGGTGTATGTGTATCTTGGAGATGTTGACATGAAGGAGGTGGTATCTGTTTGTATGTAGGAGGAGTACAGCAGAGTTGGAGTCCAAGACTGGAGTCCAATGGCCCAGTCGGAAGAATAATGAGCTGGAGGGGGGGGCGTGTCCCTGGGTCTGAACCTGAATTTAGAGCCAACACTCTGTCACCCCACCACCAGCTTTCAGAAGAACCTGGAAGTCTATTCTGCAAACCATAAGCACTTAGGCCTGCTCACCAAAGGCAACAGAGAGGATAAATCAGAAGTACAAGGCCCAGATCATAAGCATGGATATTTTGAGGGGACGCTCCTACAGTGGTATCTCAGGTTACATACGCTTCAGGTTACAGACTCCGCTAACCCAGAAATAGTACCTCAGGGTAAGAACTTTGCTTCAGGATGAGAACAGAAATTGTGCTCCGGCGGCGTGGCGGCAGCAGGAGGCCCCATTAGCTAAAGTGGTACCTCAGGTTAAGAACAGTTTCAGGTTAAGTACGGACCTCCGGAACGAATTAAGTACTTAACCCGAGGTACCACTGTATTATGTATTAACTTGAGCACATAGCAACTAAATGGTACAAATTAGCATTTAGTATCATTAAAGGAGATGCTGGCTAAATCCCACGAGGAAACAACCAGGCAAATTAGATGTGCATATTTGAGATAGGTGAAGATGTTATGTTGCCTATTAAATACAATGTTAATGAGAAGGGATGCATCAAGAGGAGAATTCACAATCAAGTCAACACTAATTTTGGGGAGAGACAGAGACACACACACACACACAGAGAGAGAGAGAGAGAGAGAGAGACTTTAATTCATGTCAGAGCAGGTGAAGGTGGAGGATACTGAAACATTTTACTTTAAGAAATTAATATATCTGTTTTGTTAGCCTGTAATGTCTTGCTACTGGAAGACTATATTTGACTGAAGTACAAGGATGATATATATACAAATAGTTATATTGTATGATTGAACTGAGTCTTTATTTTAATAACAGGTTGAGCAGTTGACAGAAGAACAGAAAAATGGTAAGCTTGTGCCATTTATCTTCCCATTTATTTCACAAGAAGGCTGTTTGCCGCATTGTCAACTTGTAATTGGGGTGGTTGACTAACCAATTAGCCACCAGCGCTGACAAGTAATCAATATGTAAAATAAAGAGCTTGGATCCAGAGCTGGTGGAAGATGACCATTTGTGAAGTTCAGCCTGCTACCACTTCACTCTAATCTTAAGAGGCGATTTCCTGCTTATGCTTCCCAACCCTTTATTGGCAGATGCAGGATATAAAGAAATTCCAGAGATGTTTTTAAAAGGGGTCATATAGACCTATGAAGCTGCCTGATGATGTTAGATCAACTGGGCCATGATATGACATGAAGTTGCCTGGTACCAAGACAAGGTACTGGTTCCAAATATTCCAGTACTGTTGACTCTGTCTATCAGGGGCTTGCCACAGTAAGGACTTCTTGCTACCCAAGAGATTGACCCCGGTCTGTATGTGCATGGACCATGTGGTCTATTACTGAGCTATGGGCCCTCCACAGATTGCATTTGGCATATTTTTGAATTAAAATATAAACTAACAGATACATCTGTGAAATGCTGGGAGGCTGAATGTCCTTGAAACTCTTTTAAGCCTTTTAACGTTTTGAGCTTAGCTGGTCCCATTCATGAAAGGGAAGGGATGAGAGACAATCAATCTGGCATAATTTTGAAGGCAGAAGTAGAAAGCTGCCAGCTATTTTCTGTCAGTCACAGCTGGAAAGTGCTGTAGGCTTTGAAGCCTCCTTGTTGAATTCAATGTGGCAAACCCTGACTTCATTTCTTCCTCCAGAATTCAAGGCTGCTTTTGATATATTTGTCCTGGGTGCAGAGGATGGGTGTATCAGCACAAAGGAGCTGGGGAAGGTGATGAGAATGCTGGGGCAGAATCCTACCCCCGAGGAGCTGCAGGAGATGATTGATGAAGTAGATGAAGATGGTGAGCTATTTTTTTCTGGGTGGTTATAAGGATCTGGAAAGGAAAGTTTAAAAATAGTAAAACATTTTTTTTCTTGAGAGCTGTGTGGAGGAGGAATGAAGAGGAGTTGAACCAGATGTCCTTTGGCATATTCTGCATTTTTATCTTGTGAACTGCCCGGAGATCTTCGGATGAAGGGTCGTATATAAATTTAATGAATTAATAGCAACAACATTATTTTTATTTATAGCCCATGCATCTGGCTGGGTTTCTAGATGGAATTCTAGATGGAAATCATCATATTGAAATAATTCATCACACCTCCTTGAATGTTTATGGATTCAAAGAATGGATGAAACAAGAAGAACAACTAACAACACGAGCAACAACAATTTGGGAAAAAACAACAACCACCATTTAAATTTGAAGGAAAAACAAACTTCTGTCAACTGCTACAGCATTTACAATATTAACTGGCTTTTTTTATTACCATGTTCGGAATATTTAAGTGGAAATGCTCAAGGTGAGAGATAAGTTACCTTTGTTGTTTTCTTTTTCATTGACAGGCAGTGGCACTGTAGATTTTGATGAGTTCTTAGTTATGATGGTCAGGTGTATGAAAGATGACAGCAAAGGAAAATCAGAAGAAGAACTTTCCGATCTCTTCAGAATGTTTGACAAGTAAGTACCTTGTGGACCTAGACAGTGATCAAGTGGAGACAGAACGTTTCTAACACTCATACCTAGTCCTGGGTGACTAGTAATATGCAAGAAGAGGATAACTAGCTTTCATAGACTTCCTTCACTGTGATAGCTGCCACTACGAGGATGGGGGAGAAATCATTTCAGCTCACATTTCAAGGCAATATGCAAACCGAGACACAACCAGCATGCAAAATTCACATTTCTCTGAATATTGCAATTCTTTTCATTACTTAATATATTGACATCCTGCCATTCTCCCAGGTTGGGATTCATTGTAGTCCTCCAGCCAAGTAATGCACAGAAAAATGCATATACTAGGGTGGAGTGTTTATAAAATACATAATTTAGTAAAAAAAAAAAAACACCATACAAAAATGTATTGTATTAGGGGAAAGTGCATTGCAAAGGTGGATATATTAGGCAAAATTAGGCGTAGAAACATTAGAAGAATGTCACGACATAATGATACCATGTGATTATTGTCCTACCCACCTGACAAAGTTGGCCAGCGGGGGAAGGCTAGATAAAAATCTGACCCCCAGGGGCAAGAGGGTTCCAGAACTTTCTCTTCATCATCATTATCTTGACAGGTTGGATGGCCATCTGTCATGGATGCTTTAGTGGAATTCCCTGCATTGCAGGGGGTTGGACTAGATGTCCCTTGGTTCCCTTCCAACTCTACAATTCTATGATTCAACATGTTTGGATTTTTTCCCTCTTTCACATTGGCCAACCATTAAGAAAGACCCAAAACTTCAGGGCCAATACTTAGATGGGTACGAATGTTGCATTTGCACATGTGTATTTAACAGCTCCACTAGATTATCACTCAGCTGTTTGCAAGTCCTTTCTTTGTAAAATTCAGATCTCTGAGAAACTGTGCATGATCATATTGAAATACAAATATTAATGCCAAACAATGCCTTTTGGGTTGTTTGGTTGATCTTGTGGTGTATCGCATAGAATACAGTGTTCAAATAAACGCTCGGCTGCAATGCAATGCTTGGTGAGAATGAAGAAATATACAGGAATGGAATTCTTCCTTTTTTGAGCTCTCCCATCTCTTCACAGAAATACAGATGGATACATAGACCTAGACGAACTAAAACTCATGTTGCAAGCTACAGGAGAAACGATCACTGAAGATGACATTGAGGAACTTATGAAAGATGGAGACAAAAATAACGATGGCAAGATTGACTATGATGGTAAATGACTGTGTGTAACTTTGCATATAAATCACAGCAAGAATTGCAGTGCTCTTAGATGGTAACCACTATAAAGAAAAAGACGGTGGACACATACACACACACACACACACACACACACACGACCTAATCTTAAAAACTCAGAGTCATCATTACTTAAAGACCAAAGGTACTCCTTTCAGTTAAATCCTTCCAGCTTGGGACCAGCTGACTTGAAGCATCACCTTACCCCATAAATGCCCACTTGACTGCTTTGATCTGTGGATCTGGGAGTGCCACATAGTGTTCATTCCACACTTGCAAGGAATCCTTCAGTATAGCCACACCTGCACTTTTGAATTCCCTGCCGATTCCCTGCAGCACGGCAAAACTAGGCTTTCTTTCACCTGGGTAGAAGACTCACATCGACCAGCCCTATGCGCATTTCCATACACATGCACACGCGTACACACGGACACTCCTCTGCTCTTTTCTGATATCTAGCTCCTGAGGGTTTCTTTGACATTGTGCCCATTATAGCAGGGGCAGCTTCCAGAGGCTTCACTTGAACGGACTACGGCTTCCTCTTGAACTCGGTGATTCTTACTTCTGAGTAGAGCATGCTTAGACATTGCACTAGTCACCACGGCTTACTTCTGAACTCAGTGGTCCTTACTTATGAGTAAATATGCATAAACGTTAACACTGCAAGTCATTTCCCAGTAATATAAAGAATTATCTCACTTCATTTCCCAAAGCACAGGGTCATTTACTTCTCTGTCTGGTTTTAGTTCTTTGTGTCTTAATTTCCCTCTTCTCCCCCAACCCCACCCCACGAGAAACAGCAAGGGGACCGAGATCTGAATTGTGAAAAAGCAAACCCCCATATTTGCAACCTTATCACAGGATTGTGGGAAAGAAGGTTCTCATGTCTCTTTCAAGACTTACAGATCAGAGCAGTTACATTTGGGGGGGGTGTGGGGGGGAGAAAAACAGCTGTCCCAGCTGGGGAGCCCTGGTGGGACAAGGGAGCCACCTGGCACCAAGGAGTGTAGAGACACACGAGGGAGAGAGGGGCTGGTGCTGCCGCCCAATGCAGCTGTCCTGGGCACCCCACATGCGCGGAGGGGGCTCTTCCCTCTGGAACAGGCAAAGTGAGTGGGGAGAGAAGGAAGGAAGGGGCTTCTGACTCAGAGGGTAGGATGGGATGAGGCAACAAAGGCAATAGCAAAACCACTTTGGACCTATGGGGTGGAGTGGGTGGTGGTCAGGCAGCCCCAGCTCATCGTAGATTGGCTAACAGGCTGAGGGCATCAATGGCGCCCTCTGGAGGCTTCACCTTGGGCAGAATTCCTGGCTAAAAGCCCTTAGTTTTGGCACTGTAGGCAAGCACTTTCACTGTAATGTTTTCAGCACCTGCTTAAAACTTTTTTATAAGCAAGCGTGCCCAAACATATAAATTTGACATGTGTTTTATAATGGATTTTTTTAATAACGGATTTTATTTTGAACAAAAATTACCCTAATTTGTTTTTAAATTTTGATGTGATCAGAAATTTTAATGTACGTTTTATGTAAACTGCTTAGAGGTTTTGATGATTAAGTGGTATATAAATCCTGTTACCTAAATAAAGGAGGAAAAGCCTTGGGTGTATTGCAGTATGCAACGGTCTCTGGGTCAGAATGCATTATCTTGCATTCACAGCCCCGCCACTGCATTGTCAATTATTAATAGCTCATATTTAAGCTGTTGGTATCATTTTCCGTACACAAAATCATTTTTTGATTATCCTTTCAAAAAAGAACAAGGCAAACTGAGATGTCTCATAGCCATGGTCACAGTCTAATGAAGAGTTAAGCTTGCTTTGGGCCATTGAAATAAATAGTCCTAAGTGTGCTTAACTCTGTCTTGGACTATAGCCATTGTTTGCTTGAAAAAATGTTTGAGGAGTGATAATAGGGTGGTTTTGCCTCGGGGAAAGTAATGGGTAAGACAAACTCAAATGGCAAAATGCATGCCTTATGTGCAATAATTGATACATACAGTCAGTGCTTTTTTTCTAAAAAAATGTTTAGGGGTACTCTCATTTTCCTTCTCATATTGAAATACTGCCCCTCAATGAGGCCAAACTTAGATTCACAAAACTTTTAGGGGTATGCATACCCCTGTATACAGTCCTTGCATGAGTACAGCTCATCATGTGGGGCAGGAGGTCTATGGGAAAGGAGAATCACACTTGTGGAGCAGCACCCAAAAGCTGGGGAGGGGGGAAGAAGTGGCAAGAAACATCCCCTGCTTCTCCAACCATCATCTTATTAAACAAACATTTTTTATTTCCTTTCTTTGGCAGAATTTCTGGAGTTTATGAAAGGCGTTGAATAAGCATGAGATCTCTGGAAAAGCAGCCTCGGACACCTCCAGTTCTCTTTTCCTTACTACTTGCATGATGTCATGTACTGAAGATGGTGAATATCAGGAAAGTGTGACCCATATCTTAAGTGCCTCAGATAGTCATCCTATGGAATATTTATTGAGTCAGGTTGTGGTCCTGTTTACTTGTTATTGCTTTCCATGATTATAATGTGCCCTTTAATGTATGAATGGGTTGTGCAGGTGACAATGAAAAATGAGGCTTAAATGACTATTGAGACATTTAATAATTCACTACAAACTCTGATTTAACAGTGGAGCTACAGCTCATCCTCCACCAGTGTCAAGCGGAATGTAAAAGTACAGTGTGTACAGAAATAAAAAATTCTTTTTGAAATGCTAATAAAATTATTTTAAAACTAAAGTTGTTGGTGGTTTTGCAGAAGACTTTCACTGCCAAAAGGTGCTAGGGATGCTTATCAACATTTCAGGTTTGGGTTTATACTGGAGTGTCCTTATCAAACATGTTGTGTACTGTATTCTCTGAACATATTTTTGTCAAAGTCTGTTTCTTTATTTCAATAATTTTTAGCCAGCTCTTCATCCAAAAACATTAGGTAGCCATCCTCACTATACACCTTTAGATGCTTGCGAAAAACTTTGATTTCAGCAAGTGCAAAATTTAGTCATATGCATACAGTATTTGTTTTTAATATTTTCTGATTTTATCTATTGATAATTGATGTATGTACACTGCTTAAAGGTGTATCATCATCATCGCCACTATCACCCTGTAAAAAAAAAATGCTCCCAATGCAGCTTAAAAAGGTAAAGGAACCCCTGACCATTAGGTCTAGTCATGGCCGACTCTGGGGTTGCGGCGCTCATCTCGCTTTATTGGCCGAGGGAGCTGGTGTACAGCTTCCGGGTCATGTGGCCAGCATGACTAAGCCGCTTCTGGTGAACCAGAGCAGCACATGGAAATGCCGTTTACCTTCCCACCGGAGCGGTACCTATTTATCTACTTGTACTTTGACGTGCTTTCGAACTGCTAGGTTGGCAGGAGCAGGGACTGAGGAACAGGAGCTCACCCCATTGCGTGGCAGGTATTCGAACTGCCAACCTTCTGATCGGCAAGTCCTAGGCTCTGTGGTTTAACCCACAGCACCACCCGCGTCCCCCCAGTGCAGCTTACTGATCAATTAAAAAACACACACACCAGACAATTCCTGCTCTCAAGATTACAATCTAAAAGGCATGTAGCAACAGGAATAAGGGATGAGGAAGGAAGATGGGGGCGGGGGGAAGCAATCTCAAGCACCAAAGTTATAGGTCTAATAACGAGCAGCTGGGATGGAAGTGTTCAGTCAGAGTGAATGAAAGGCTGCTGCTAAGTGACAATTGACTATCCATCAAAGGCAGCTGGTTTTTCAGCAGAGCTGGCTGGATAGGCCACCTTCCCTGCTTTGCCTTCTGTTCTGCAGCCTGGTGAAATGGACTGCATAATCTGAGATTCTTAGGATGCCCAATTTTTCACCTGCTATTAGCTTCTGCACCCAAGCTGGCTATTAACACACTTTCAGAAATGTAACACCGGAAGACCTCTATTTATTAAAAGCAGAGAGCATTTCTTCAGATGCTTAAAAGATACTGATCCATGGGTTGTTTCAGCTCTTAGGTTTTGAGGAGCCCCTGAGCCAAAGGGTCCTTGGTGGGATTGTCCTCCTCTGCCATGTCCTCCTCCTGCCCACTCTTCTTCCGGCTACAATCTGCACAATTGCCCAGAGGGAGTTGCTGCTCCATCGCCTCACCCTTGTCATTTATTGCACGCTCAGAGGGCAGGTGAGCAGGCAGCAATGGCAAGGGGTTGGAGCAGCAGGGGGCTGCAGAGAATGGCAATGGGCCTGCTTCAGGGGCAAGTGCCCAATGACATCCCCCACCCCAGTGCCATTCCTGTGAATGGGACTCTGGTGGCAGAGTGGAGATGAAAGACTCAGTTCATACTTCCCAGCACTGCTACTATCCAGAGTGTCATATATTTGTGTTTAGTTACATATGATCTTAACATCTATATTTCAGGGTTGTTTGTCTGTCACCATCATTTCCAAAGCATAGCATATTAACAAGAGGTTTATGTTCTTTCAAAGCAAGAGCTGGTATTCTGGAGAAAAAGATGACAGACATAAATAGGTTCTCCTACCCATTTCCCAGACCTAGAGCAGACTGCATAACTACCATTCTCATGGGCTTCAAAGCAACTCACAATTATTTATCATTTATCTAGATCTGAAATGACAACAAGCACTAAAGATTAGTGCTACACTGCAGAGAGGCACAACAGATACACAATTCAGTGGTTTCCAAGAGATGTGTTTTTCTAATAGTTTGGGCCCAGGGCTTTCAAACATGCTATATATCCATTCCCCAGGCGTAAAAACAAGAATGGATTCAAACCCAAAAGGGATAATGTATTATTGCATCTTTCAGAGAGTGTCTTTTGTGAGAGACATAATAGGAGAATTATCCTTTGCACAGGGATCACTTCTTGCAAACAAAATGGAAAGATGAATCATTCTCTGTTTTCCTCCAATGCTTCAACATCCCTTGGACCCAATGTGACGTGTAACGCCATCACCTGCTTGGATCAGGCCAGGGAAAAGAAATACAAGTTTGGTCTTGGGGTGCTTATGATCCTTGGCATGCTTCTGGGTATTTGGTTCAACGGAACCATCATTCTACTAACCATCAAGCACAAATTTCTCAGGGTTCCTCTTAATTACGCTGTGGTGAACTTGTCGGTTGCAGACATGGGCTGTATAGTGATTGGACTCTGCCCCACGACGGATGCTAATCTGCATGGGTATTACTTTGAAAACAAGTCTTTCTGCATCTTCCAGGGCTTTTCCGTTGCTCTGTTTGGTAAGTGATTCCCACCTACCCACCTATCTAGATTTATGTGTGTCATTGCTAATGGAAGTTCTGCTGCATACATAGTAGTCTATACATGCATTTATACAACCCATGTTGCATATGCAGATAGAAATCTGTGGGGAATCACTGTCAGACATAGGATAATGTGAGCACAACTATAGCGAAGAAACAAATATTAAGTCAGAATGGAGATAATAATTGCTTGGGGTTTTTTCCTTGAATAAACTGATGGTGACAATCAGTTTGGGGCTTGTTCCAATTTGACGTTTCAGATGATTAAAAAAATATATTAATGTTGACCGTCCCAATTTCCAATTTGAGGAATTCTCAGTATGTAAGTGGAATTTGAGGAATTCTCAGTATGTAAGTAAACATTTTGTTAAGCTCTAGTCACTACAGTCTAGTGAAAATGTAACTCAGTACCTGAACTACATATCATATATTAAGGGAAGGCATCTGAACTGGAAACCCACATCTGAATCATATTTGTGAATCTTCAAGGAATTCAATATATAAGCTTCATCTACCACTGGAGTGAAAATTTGGACGGTTGCCTGGAGAATTTTATGTTAGTTATCACACAGATGGAAAGGTGGGAAGCTCACAGCACCCATCTCCTTCCTTTCTGCAGCCACCTCCTGGACATGCCTGCTAGTATGTGGATGAATGCTAGCTCAGAAGTAAAATGTCCTCTTGCTGTGGTGTGAGATGGAAAACAGGAGGGAGTCCCACCAACTGGGTGGGAAACCCCAGGCCCAGCGATCATTCAACAGCAACCAAGCAAGCAAACCACCCACCCACCCACATATTCTTCAAACTCCTGTGGTTTCTCTTGTGGGGAGGCCTAGAATTTTACACCTTCTTCTCATTCTGGACAAGCTGCTAGCAGAGGCAGATTTAGGGCAGCATGACAGGTTTCCCTGCACTGGATGCTGAGCTGTGTGTGTGTGTGTGTGCTGCAGGGTGTCACACTGTGACGTAGTGCACATGCAGAATAGAAGGCGAGAGGTGTGAGAGGGGTGAATTTTGGCCTTGCACAGGGCGCTGCTGACATTTGAAAGACCAAGGCACATCCCTGTTGCTAGCTTTACAACCATTACAGACACTCCAGAAAAGACCACCTAATGTGGTTTTCTCATTCAGGTTTATGAAGCATGATACTTAGTATGGTTAGGGTTGCTTCTTAAGCATCACCAAGAAACAGCAAATGTTTCAACAAGAAAAGGGAACAGAGAGCACAGATTTGCATAAAAGTTGCATATATGCTAATTTAGAAATAATTACAATACTTTATAGGATTACATCTTACTGTATTGGGGTCGACTTTGATCAGGTGACCTGTGTGATTGCTCATTTGGCTGTCCGGGGACTAACTGTTGATGGTCAACTTCAAGGTCTCTTTAAACTGGACTTGTCCTGGACAGCCCTTTGAACAGAGGATGCCTTTGCATAAAGGACTGTCCACTGTAAAATAGGGTACATGCGGACTGCTGGGTCCACATTTCATCTCCATGGTGAGCTTATTAGGTGGTTTTGAGCAAGCAACTTGTTTCTCGGCCTCAGTCTAGGCCCTTTGTCTGCATCACCACCACCATCAGTAGTAGTTCTATTATTGCTTTTTATTACCTGCCCTTAACCAGCAGAGGATGGGTATTAAAAACAGTTAAAACAAAGTGCAGTCGCAGGAACAGGGTGGATTCTGAAAACATGTATCTCAGGTGTCGAAGGCCGGAGTAAAGAAATGCATCTTCAGCATTTGCTGAAAGCTGTATTGTATAGGTACCAGATACACCTCTGTGGGAAGTGAATCCCACAATTTAGGGGTTGCCACAAAGAATGCCCTCCCCCAGTGTTAAGTTGTGGGTTGACATAGCAGACGACACAGCGATTTCTCTAAAGCAGCTCTTTATTTTGTAAGCTGGAACAGAACTGAGCAGCAAACAGCTCAGCCGGCCTGCTTTTATAGGCAGCTGGCTGTCAACATTGTAGCAACAACAACCCAGGGTTTCCCGCCTAAAATAACTGACGTGGACCTGAGTGAAAACTATCTACAATATCCCCCTGCTGGCCCAGGGTGAGAACTTCAGTACATAACACCCCTCCCCACCGAGATAAGACGTTAGTTACAATCGTAATGGTTTCCTTATATACAGCACTACACATAATGGTTCAATTAGGCACAAAAGCATATCGGTTACATTTCCCATACTTAGACCAACAGTGATACATGTCCAACAACATAGTCCTTTAAATAAGTTGGGCGCTTGGAAACTCTGCCAGACCGCCGGGGACTGGTAGCCAAGTCCGGGGGGCCACCCAATTCTTGCTGAGGCTGTGGTGCGACCCTAGGTGGCGTTGAAACCAAATCCCCTGGATCCGCTGCTGCAGGTGGAGCCTCCGCAAGTTGAGTGGTCTGAGTCTGTTGTAAGTCTGGCAGACCCTCTGAAGCGGCTTGGTTCGGCTCCACACTGGCAGTTTGCGAGGGAGGTACAG